CATCATCAATGGTTAGAGGTTTTAGTGCCTTCACAAAAGACTTCAGGTGTGGCTTCAGACCTCCCACAAAACTATCCACAAAATAATCATCAGGTAAAACTGGAGTTTTCTGCAACATTAATGACTTTAGCTCTTCAAATCTCTCCAAATATTCCTCAATTGTCCCAGTTTGATTCAATTTATTGAATTCCTCCACTAGTTTACTGTCAAGTTCTTCTTTGAACCTACCACACACATCAATGATGAATTCATCCCATTCTACTCTCTTTTTGACAGCAATGTAACTAGCAAACCATACCTCAGCCTTCCCTGTCAAATGGATTGAGGCTACATCCATTTTTTGATTTTCAGGGATTTTACAGAGATTGAAATAGCGTGTGCATTTCTTCACCCAATTCCTAGGGTTAGAGCCATTGAACGAAGGAAATTCAAGTTTAGGCAAAAATTTAAAAGCAGTTCTATCACCTCCTTCATTGCCGATGATCTCTGATGACGATCTATTCTCATTATTGCTTGATTTTTCAAGCAACTCCATCATTTTCTCAAACATATTCTGTTGTTCTGCTCTAATTTCTTCGATCTTCTGATTTTGAGATGCCAATTGTTGTTCCAGTATCATCTTGAGCTGATTGTTCTGGTTTATCTCCATGTTCGACTCTTGCTCAGATCTGGATTGTTTTCTCGTTCTTGCCAGGATGAGAACTTGCTCTGATACCACTGATAAAGTCCAATGCAGGAGGATTCAGAGATGGAGAAGAATCCTCGAGGATGAACGTTAAAGACCAGGGATTGAAGTCCCGATCAAAATGTGAGAGAAGAGAGAGAGAAGTTATGTGAAATGAGATTAAATGTCTTTTTATTCCAACCACAGCTTGAATACAAGTATATAAAGGCCCTGAGCCCCCCCGAGCTTAGCTAACCGTCTAACAAACTCAACCGCCATCTAACCGTATCTAACCACCACACACACGTGGCAAGGCAACGCCTGTATCAACTCCCTCCCGCTTAAAAAATTTTCAAGTTATCTTATCACAAAAATTTATAAAAGTAAAAACTTTGTGGTTGAAAATAATGCAGCTGAAAAAGAAAATATTGTAAGTCACTTAAAATATTTTATAAAAAGAGAAAACAAGTCAAAAAAAGAGTTATTTTTTAGGGAGAGAGGTATAATTATGGAAGAATTTAACTAAATAATAGGGAGAAAGACCAAAGTATGACTAAAACATTGAACATATACCAAAATAAGACTTCCATGTTTTTATTCCCGAAATAGGACTTACATTACCAAACATGGTCATATACATTACCAAGAAAGTATAGTAATTTACACATGTACACTACCACATTACCACAATGCAAATTCACATTACCAAAGTGCAAAGTCCTATTTCGGGAAAAAAAACATGGAAGTCCTATTTTGGTACTTTTCTCTATGTTTTAGTCCTATTTAGGATGATTTCTATTAATAATACTATAACATAATGACTCTCTGAATATAAGACCATATGTTTTTAGTTCTTAATGTAGGATCATTGATCATTGTTCAAGTAAATGTCCACAACCACTAGACATTATTCATCCCACTAGATATTATTAAATCCTATTTAAAGAATAAAAAATTTTAAGTCCTACATTACGAAATAACTTATTTTTAATCCCATTCAGTGCAGTTTTTTCATAATTATGATATCTAACTATTGTATTGATCATAAAATGAAGCAGCATGCAATTGGGTATGCGAGCGGAGAAGCATACTATGGGGCAAAAGCGAGCATGAGCGTGTGGGCCCCACGCGTGGAGAAACCGTATGAATTCAGCTTGTCGCAAGTGTGGCTTATTTCTGGGGCTTTTGGCGATGATCTCAACACCATTGAAGCCGGCTGGCAGGCACGCATATATAATTACCATACACTACATCCTCCCCTCATTTTTTATTACTATTATTATTTATTGAGTTTTGTTTTTTGCAACTAATTATTTTCAATTCTTGACTTATAATTAAATAAAATTATATATATATATATATATATATATATATATTTGTGTTTGTGTATATACACACACTACCAATGAATGGATTACCTCCGTCGACGAATCGTTTTTAACTTTTTATAGTTAATTAATCACTTTCAACTTTTGGCTTATGATTAAATAAAAGTTATATGAGATGTTGATTAGATAAAATAATATTTTAAAAATATTATATAAAACAAATCTAATGAAATTATTTTTATATTAACTTTTAATACCAATTTTGTTTAATATGTTGTCAAAGTTAATTGATTTTAATTAGAAAAGGTCAGAACTCAGAGAGAGAGGTAGTATGCCCATTTATTATTTTGTTCATTCATTCTACTCTTCGAGTAATTTCCTTTACCAGCTCATAATTAATTATAATTAAATACTACTCATCAACACCACTTTCTACCATCATGTTTTGAAGCATTTTAATGGTGAATAATCAAGTTTGTGTCACTTTTTTAACACATCCCACAAAGAGTGTGGAACTCTGACGTGCTTATATGTTGGTGTTGTTGATAGTATACGTTCTTATTTTCTAAATAAAAATACGGAGTATAAAAATTTTATTTAATTGATTTTTTGAATAAATTTTATTTTTATTTTAGTCTTTTTTTTTATTATGATTGAACATGATATGGATTAAGATATACTTCCTCTCCAGACTCCACAAACTATTTAATTGATTCTTTGTATAAATTTTACTCTTATTTTAGTCATTTTCACTATTAAGAAATCATCCAAAATAATCAAGAGTAAAACATAGTTCATATTCGCAAAACAATAGTGACATATTTTTATTTCTAAAATAGATTTTTCTCTGTAATGATAATGTGACAATGTATATTGTCATTTCAGTGTTTTTTTTGGAATTTTTTGTTGTTGGCATTGTAAGTCTTACTCTTGGAATAAAAAAGGGTCATATTTTGGTTATTTTTCTATATATGTTACGTTTTATTCTGACTTTATTCTTTGCCGTTTACTATTTGAGCTTTTGATAATTTTGTTTGCATATATGTTTTCATTTGATCATGTAATAAAACAAAATAGGCATGTCATTTTGTCGTTGCCCATCAATTTTTCTTTTTTTCAATTTCAACCAATCAATCAAAATTTAACACATATTCACGCATCATCACATTCCTTCAAACAAACTCATTATAACAGAGGTTTTCATCACTCCACATCATATATCATTATACATCGTCGTCAAGCCTCCCGTCAAACCCTCCAAAACACATGACCTTAATATTGCCATATTTTTTTTGCAGGTTAGCCCAGACCTATATGGGGACAATTACCCTAGATTTTTTACCTACTGGACGGTATGCTTACCCTTCCTCCTAAAATCATTGTTTCAATTTGATTTTTTGGTCAAATTTGGTAACACTTTGACCATAAATTAAATAAATATAATTTTTGAAAGTGTTAGTTACTTCCTTCGTCGGGAAAGATCTTTTCAAATACTTTTTTCTTTGTTCGAAAAAAATATTCTCATTACCTTATTTAATATTTAAAATACCGCAATTAAACATACTTTATTTAATACATGTCAGTCACCTCATTTAATATAGTCGACTTACTTTCATTAAGGATTTTTTTTGTAAACTTTCACATTTTTTTAAGTCTTCTTCAAAATCATAAAAAATTAGTTTGAGAATATCATTGGCGGACATCGGGAGTATAAAAAATCGATATATCAAAGCTGTAGAGTATATTTTAAATTAAATCTAATTTTACTAAATTAACATTATAACTACAAATAGTTTTTCACAATTTTTGGTCAAAATATTACACCATTTGACCAAAAAATCAAATATGGGAACGGATGGAGTATTAGAGAGTATTATTAATCACTATTATTGTTCTCTATCCCAAAGTTTTCACCTAATTTATTTTTTTATGTTAAAGAACTATGAAGTAGACAAAAGAAGTCATTCAAAATAGGAATAAAATGTATTTATCCTTAAAATAGAAATTCTATATTTTATCTGATCCCCAAAATAAGAATTTGTACTGTGACATTGTAAGATTATATGGTGGCATCCCACTGAACTTTTTGATAGTATATATTAGTATTATTGGCATTGTGTTTTTTTGGGATAAAAAAATATGAAACTCTAATAATTTTAGTAGTTACTCCATGTTTTACCCTTAGTTTAGTTTTTTTTAACATATAATTGGGAGGAATGTTTTGTTATTATAACTATTTAATTTGTTATTATTATCACTATTATTATTATTATTATTATTATTATTATTATTAAATTTTGTGAAATTTTATGGACAGAGTGATGCATATCAAGGCACGGGGTGTTACAATCTGCTATGCTCGGGCTTTGTCCAGACTAATAACAAAATTGCCATTGGAGCTGCCATCTCTCCAATTTCTTCCTATAAGGCTGGCCAATTTGATATCAGCATTTTAATTTGGAAGGTAATTTTCTATTCTTAATCGACCTTTTCTAATTTTTCCCTTACAATTATATTTCGTTTGTCTAGATTTTAATCACCTATTTTGGTTTACGATAGTTTGATTGAATTTATTTTCAAATCATTTTATATGATAAAAAATGTAGAACTAAAAAAATAAAGATTACATATTTAATAACTATATAAAAAATCTACAAAACCAGTGAATTTTATATGACTATATTATTTTATTAAATGACTAACGAAAATAGGATATAAATTTATAAAATTTTACCATTTAATAGTAAACATACAATTTAATTATTTGAGACGGTGGGAGTATTTTGGTTCTCCTTCTCCTATTTTGTCTGTGTGAGATCGGAATGTATTCACAACAAACCTCCCCTTCTCCTTCTCCTATTTTGTACTGTTCATCTATTCTTGTTGGGGCTTTTGAAAAAAGACATCAATGTAGATCTCTGTTGGGATTCCTCCAAGTCCCACGCCGGATGGAGAAGAAAAAATGAACCAAAATATATAGGTTCAACCAACCCCATTAGTATGAGCCCTTATGGGAGGTGCCCAAAAACAAATCCGTGAAAGCTTGGCCCAGAGCGGGCAATATCATACTAATGTGGGGTTGGGGTGAGGGCACGCGCAGTCCCCAACATGTGGTATCAGAGCCCAAGTTCTTGCGGGCGTGAGCAGCGGACTGTGCAGTGTGGAAAAATCTCGGTGTGACAGTGTAATAATAAGACTAAGACCAAGAAAGAGGATTCGCAGGTGGTGCCTTGTGTCGAAAGTCTTCCCGACGAGGGAAGGTCGGGAGGCGTGTCCCGTGAAGTTATAGCTACGGCAGTACAAGATGATTTGACGGATCAAATGGTGTAGCCCAGCGAAAGAAATATATGCGGTTCGAGCCTTGCGTCGAAAGTCTTCCCGACAAGAGGTCGGGCGGCGGGTCCCGCAAAGAGTGTGCGGCGGTGCAAGATGGTTAGCAGATAAAAAAGAAAAATGGATCACCGCTGGAGGGGAGGTCGGAAGTTGTGTGGTCCTTGGATGAGGGGAGGTTTGTTGGGATTCCTCCAAGTCCCACACTGGATGGAGAAGAAAAAATGAACCAAAATATATAGGCTCACCCAACCCCATTAGTATGAGGCCTTTTGGGAGGTGCCCAAAAACAAATCCGTGAAGGCTTGGCCCAGAGCGGACAATATCATACTAATGTAGGGTTGGGGTGAGGGCACGCGCAGTCCCCAACAATCTCTACTATGCACACCGTTGAATTCACACAACATAAGGAATTCCTCCAATCCTACTCTAGTCGGCTGCCATCCTGATATGATAATATATTAGTTATATTATTTATTAATTAGTATTATTTATTATTATTTATTAATATTCTAAACATTAGGGTTTAGTATGGGCCCGAGCCCATTAGGTCAAAACCCTAATCTCCTCCTCTATTCTCTTGGAGTCCGTAAACGCTCGAAGTTTTCTATCTTTTTCTACCTCATATTCTTGGAGCTTGAAGAACGCTCGAAGTTCTTCCCTATCCGATACGATATTCGTATCAATTGGTGCTCTTGTTGAGAGGAACACCAAACAAAAAAAAAGTTCCAATCCGCAATTTTTTTTTACTAGTTCAATCTACTGTTGGAACTTTGGAAAGAAAAATACATTGAATTGGATTGCTCCTTGAGATCACTCAATTGTGCAGCCGCCAAAAAAAAAGAGAAAGGTTGAAGCAAATTGCAAATCAACACTCCAAGGATAAAATAGTGGATCGCCGCCACCAATTCAACAACAAAAAAATCGAAAGGTTTAGCCACCGCTGCCAAATTATTTTTGACGCCGACCAGATTCATATTTTTTCAAATGGAGCAGGGTTTTTCCTTTCGAATGGAGGCACGATTCAAGCGGTTAGAGGCTTTGATTATTTGTACCGGTGCATTGGACAAACTAATTGATTTGCTGGAGAATGTTCTATATAGAGAAATTGTGCATGACGAAGGAGTTTGCACACTTTTCGATCACATAGATGAAATTCTCAAGAATCTACGGTCATTTTGCCCTATTGGAGGTCAAACAAATTATGATTCTGACTTGCATGCGTTGGGCATTAAAATCTCTTGTTTAGTCCAAAATTTGGTTCGTGGTCCTCCAATTTTATCAGGTTTGATTTCTTTGGAGTTACAAAATTTTAGAACAAAAACATTGGATGCTATAAAAAGTCTCATTGATTCATCGTTTCCTCCACCAAGTTTACCCCCTACGGCTAGAGACACAAATATCCAAATGACGGAAGAAACATGTATACACCTTGCTCCTATCGTGAAGGACACATCTGGATATGAGAGACTAAAAGTTGAGCCGCACCCCAAGAATGAAAACAATAGCGAGTTTCTCGTCATGAAGGAAGATGATAATATTACTATTAAAAATGATGAGTCATCCCAAAAGTCAGATCTTGCATTTTATGATACATCAGGTGTTGTGGACACTACAAGGTATGAAGCTTTCGTGATTGTAGACCAGGTAGCAGAGAACTCAATTTCGTTGGAAACTTTTCAGTTATTTGACATTGTTGATGTTGCCAAGTCTGAATATCCAGTTTCAAAGCAGACGGTTCTACACACTTCAACCAACACGCTTTTTGTTAAACGCTCACCAGGTGGACTTTGTGTATGGTTCAATGTTTTATCACCAGTTCAGAAGCACGAGTGGGAGCCTCCACCTTGAGGACAAGGTGGTTTTTAAAGGGGTGGGAATGATATGATAATATATTAGTTATATTATTTATTAATTAGTATTATTTATTATTATTTATTAATATTCTAAACATTAGTGTTTAGTACGGGCCCGAGCCCATTAGGTCAACTAGCATAGCGTTACTCTCTATATATTGTAATCCTTCCCCGTTATTATGAAAGGAATAAATAAATATCAAAACCCTAATCTCCTCCTCTATTCTCTTGGAGTCCGGAAACGCTTGAAGTTTTCCATCTTTTTCTACCTCATATTCTTGGAGCTTGAAGAACGCTCGAAGTTCTTCCCTATCCGATACGATATTCGTATCACATCCGCCCCAAGAATTTTGGACGTCGTAGTCAACCACTTCTACCAATCTTAATTTGGGCTTTGATACCAAATGTTGGGATCGTATGTAATGTCATCTTAACCACACATTCTTTGAGCACGCACAGGTAAAGACAAAATGTACGGGAAAGACTTTTGTTTATTTGTGGGGTCAGTCTATAATTATATAAGCAGATACTTCTCTCCAATGTGAGGTTGGGGTGTTTCAAATGGTACGAGAGCAACCTTGCAACCGTGACGGGCCAAGTTTTGTTCACCTAGCGGGGAAGATCTAGTTGTTTGAAAAAAAGGTGCAATGAGGACGTTGAATTTCTAAGTGTGGGTGAATGTAATACCCCAAATTGAAAATAAATGGATTGCGAAAAAAACTTAAAAGGATTGATAATACTACCTTCATCCAAGCACGTTTAACTTCTTAGTTCTAATGTGACTTGGTGCATTATTGCTCGTATGATTGCATGAAAAACGAATACAACAGATCACTGCCAGAGCTATCTTGCAATGGAATGTGGTTGCCATTGCAGATTCTGTCATAGATTTGACAGATTCTGATACGAATAGTTAATTAAAATATTTTAATTGGTTATAGTATTATTTAGTAGGTATTAAAAACAACACTAGAAAGCAGTAGATTATGCACCAAAAAACAACACTTTTAAATCCACATCACTATAAAACTAAGTACATTCAATCCATTCACCACAAACTTAACGTACACGACATTCACATTTAATATTCAAATGAAATCTAAACACAATTATATACTTCGTATAATGTAACATAGGTTGAAAAATATAAGCATAATCAACACATTCGATCACAACACTCGAAACTAGAATCTAGACAATAAATATGATTCAAACATAATAATATGAAAAAATTGCTAAACAGACTTTTTTCAAACAATCAAGACCACAACTTTTAAACCATTCTCCCTGCCCTAGCTCGACCTGAACAATCGTGGTTCCTATTATCCGGCAAACTTGGTCAAAATTGGACCGTTCTCTTTCCGGTCCGGTCTTCGGTCCTCACTTTTTCTTTATCCACTCTTCGGTTCGGTCCGGTCCACCGGGTTCTGGTCTGGACCGGTCAAAATTAATTTTTTTAATATTTTTTCTATATAATATTATGATATAGTTTTAAATTTTTTTCTTATCCTTAAAATTACTCTAACTTTATTACTAAAATTTATTTCAAATGTAATTTTTTATTTTTTAACAATTTTTTTTAAAAAACTAATCCAATTAGAAATACGAAATAAGATTTTTTTTAATATGAAAAGTGTGAAAAAAGTAAACAGTACTTTTATGTTAGCAACAAATTCATTTCAAATTTTTGTACCAATACTATAACTTAAGTTTGTTCTTTATCAATAATGAAACTCTAACAAATAAAAATGAACAATATAAAATTAAAAATCTTTCAAACAAAAACAATATAAAACAAATATCTATTTACCAAAATAAAATAAAAACAAAAAAAAGAACATTACAAAAAAAGTAAAAACACAATAAGAAGAAGAATATATACTCTCTATGTAAAACAAAAATTACGAACAAGTTTTCCGCAAAACGATAGAGGATATATTTATTTAAAACTTGTTAAAAAATTAAAATAATGGTCTTTGAAAATGTTTTGTGTATGTTACACATTAAAAATTTATTATAGTAATAATTTTGTGCAATTGAGTACTTTAAATTAAATAAAAAAATTTATTTTAAAAAATAAAAAATCACATTTATTCGATCTGGTCCCGGTCCGGATTTTACCAATCCGGTCCCGGGCCGGTCCTTAACTTATTCGATCCGGTCCTCGGTCCACGAAACGTCCTTTATTCGATCCCAGTCCGGTCTCGGTCTGGATTTGACCCGATGAACACCCCTAATTCCAATAATTAATTAATCAAAGTACCCAATATTAGAGCTGGCAAAACAGAACCGGAACCGATTACCCGAACCGAAATATCCGAAACCGAAACCGAAATGACCCGAAAAATGAAGATGCGATCTAACCGAAAACCCGAAATGATCCGAATCGAACCGAAACCGAACTAAATAATTCATATCCGATTTAAATCCGAAACCGATTAGATCCGAAACCGATAATATCCGAACCGATTAAACCCGAAACCGATTAGATCCGAAACCGATAATATCCGAAACCGATAAAACCCGAAACCGATTAGATCCGAAACCGATTATATCCGAAACCGATTAGAACCTACATCGATAATTTTGGAAGTATGTTTTCCTTTCAATAAGCATATTATGCTTTTAAAATTTTACTTTTATTTTACCATTTGAACTAATTATATTACTTGCTCATTCCCTCATAAAATGGATTACATGTTTTAGAAATATTACAAAAAATAGAGCAAATGAGCAATAAAATAGAGATGACATAAAACACATGAAAATTACTTTTTCCAAATCTAAGCATACATGCGATAAAATAAAGCAAACCAGTAATAAAATAGAGATGAGAATCTTGTATTTACACATCATATCAATGGTATTTTTTTAAAGTCAACACAAAAAATATTCCTCCCTTAAATTTTCAAAAAGTCAAAAATGGAAGTTTATTTAGGGACGAAGGGAGTAATAGTCTGGCTACAATAAGTTATCATATCCAAATTTCTCTTATTTATTTAATGTGAGTTTTATTTTTTAATATAATACAGAGTAACATTTTTAAATAGCTATACTTATAAAAAAAAAGTATGCGAGTCAGTGCAAAGCACGAGATAAAAACTAGTTGCTTCGACTCATCTTCCCCAAAAAAGTGGTAACACAATCATAATACGACTTGAATTTATCTTTTATCTTTTTATTTATAAAGATAAAACTAATGATATTAATAAATCTGCACTAAATAAAACTAAAACATAATTACTTTCTTAATCTAGGAATTAAACTTTTTTATTCCTTAGAGAGAACTTAATAATGTCTTAGTGGGAGGAATAATGCCCAGTAATAAATTAATAATAGACATTTACTTGAATAATGACTAATTAATAATGACCAAAAGTCCTACATTAGGAAATAAAAACATATGGTCCTATATTGGGAAACTCATTGTGTTTTAGCCCTATTTAGGTAAATTACTCATAATATTATTTGAAGTGATAAAATTTTAATATATCAAAACTAAATTTTAAAATTAATATTATGATATTAAATTTATATCATCATAAAATATATTTTTTCATAATTTGTAGTCTACTCGATCAAATATATCCGAAACCGAAATATATCCGAACCGGACTAGACCCGAAACCGAAATATATCCGACTCAAATTGTATCCGAATCAAAATCTATCCGAACCGATTTATTACCGTACCGTATCTGAACCGACTCGAAACCGAATCGAACCGAGAGGATAGAATAGAACACAATGAGTTTCCGAACCGAAATTTAACCGATCCGAACCGACTATAGCATATAACCGAAAGATATCCGAACCGAAAAAGTTCAACCCGGAACCGATCCGATTGATCCGATTGCCACCTCTACCCAATATGGAAGAACATGATGACCAAATTGTAATTTATGCTTATATCGTGAATGTTCAGGGATCAATTTCCTTTTTGAATATTATCAGCTTTATTATAATATAATATATGTTCATACGCCAAAGAGATTTAATTTTCTCATTGGGGTTTGATACACTCTCTAATTATTTGGACTTTGTTTTGGAATAACGTTTTCAATTAACGTTAGCCTTTTGATAAAGTGTTAATGATATAGATTACTTTTAAAAACGCTAACATTAAAAACTACCGTCAAATAATCTTTTCAAAACGCTAACCTCTACGGCTCTAACTTTGATGCCAAACGGGATATTTGGAAGAATTGGGGAAAGACATGGCGCACATTAGCCCATTGGGTAGTTGTTTAGATGTGAATCAATAGGGCATCTACGACATAATTAGTAAGGCGTATAGTAAATTAGTAATGGACTAATGGGTGATAATGCGCCAGATGTAAGGCATTAGGCGCGTGCACTTTAGCAATTAGTATAGTGGTATTAATTAAGCATGCATGGGAGAAACTATTGGGTCTATTTATTACTATAGCTATGACTAGGTGTGTTCAAAAATATCTGATTCGATATATCCGTCCACGATCCGGGCTGATCCGATCTGAAAAATGGATATCCGATCCGATATTTTAGCTTTTGAATATTTCGAATTGGATACCCGAAAAAAATCAGATCGGATATGGATTCAATTTCTGGAATTATTCGGATAACCGGATATCCGATTTTTTTTTGCTATATATTTTTGGAATTTTATGGATATATATTATGACTATATGATTAAATGCAATTTTATGTTGATTTTGGGACTCAACCATTTTGGACTTTTTGCATTAGCATTTTAGAATCTTTTGTTTTAATAATGTTTTTTTATTTGTTTAGGCAAAATTACCAAAGTTACTCCTAAATTAAATTTGGTATCATTTTTTTATTAGGTCATTACTTAGTGGTGGAATTTTTCTTTTAGTAAATCTATACTGAATTTGATATTTTGGGTTAATTTTGCTATTTTATCTTTTTTTTTTATAAATTTTGGCTAAAAACTCAACTTTTCGGATAATCCAGTGATCCGATCCGGGAAATCGGATATCCGAATATTTCCGGATCGGATATGGAATAAGTTTTACATGATCCGAAACTTTCGGATATCCAAATTTTCGGATCGGGTCAGATCGGATCGATCTGATTGAACACCCCTAGCTATGACTATGTTTTGCACTTTGTGAGATTATCTTTGCTCTTCTCTTTTCCAAGCTAAGCAAACACCACTCTCACTTTTTCCATGAAGATTTTCGATCTTAATCTTGTTACATCTCAATTTTGATATTGACAATTCATAGATTACATCCATCTATGTACCAAAAAAAATTATCCTAGGATATTTGTACATTTTAAATTTTTTCAAATCAAATTAAACAAATTTAATCGTCAAACATTCGAATAATTTTTTTATTTAATTTCCATATTTATCCCATAATAGTACAATTATTAAAATGTACTGTTGTACTTAAATATCAATTGATACGTTTTATTGATATAGTTATGCCTTGAAAGTGTATGAGAAAATGTCTAACCGAAAATTTATTTTCTTTTTTTGTTATTTTTTGTTTGTAACTTTAAGTTGTATAAAATAAATAGTCGAGCTTAAATTTTAAGTTGCGTGTATACGTATTTCGTTTGATGTTTGATCTAGTGTTCTTCAAATTTTGAATACAAAATGAAATTTCATTTAATTTTAATTTTCGAGTGATTGTTTGAGATGAAATGCAATTAAATTTTTTGTTATTTCGCAAAGACAATTGTAGAGTGAAGTGTATCTTTTTTGTGTTAGTTGACCTAAGCCGCACCCTTATTGCTGGGGTGGGGCTCAGTGCCCCATATCCATACTTATCCAACGTACGTGCCGCTCCGAATAAAAAAATTTCTTATAGATCCTCCACTATCTAAGGGTGCTCCTCGATCAGCATATTTTCTGAATCCGTCACTATTGTCTCGTGTATTTCGGCTTTGTTTGTTAACAGCGTTTTCGATTAGCGTTAGCGTTTTGGATAAAATTTTAATGGTGCAGATTAATTCTGAAAATGCTAACGCTAAATGCTACCGTCGGATAACTTTTTCAAAACGCTAATGCTAATCTCTGACACTGATGCCAAACGGGGCCGGTGTTAAGGAACCAACTCAACCACAAGCTCAAGCTTGTGGTTGTGGACCAGGAAGAGTTATTTATATTCTAACACGCCCCCTCACGTGCAGGCGTAGTCTTTTTCGAGCCTTGCACGTGAAACTTTTAGTTTTTTTTAAATTGGGTGGCGGTGAGTTTCGAACTCGTGACCTCTTGGTTATCAAGGCTCTGATATCATGTCAAGGAACCAACTCTGAGATTGTGGTTATGACTCAGGAAGAGTTATTTATATTCTAACAGCCGGTCGTCACAACACTCATGATATATTAAATTGTAAATCTTTTTTTTTTTTTTTTTGCAGGATCCAAAAAGAGGGGATTGGTGGCTAGAGTTTGGGTCAGGAAGAATAGTTGGATATTGGCCATCTTTCTTGTTTACCCATCTTAGGACATCTGCTGCAAGCATGGTACAATTTGGAGGGGAGGTTGTGAACAGTGATAGCCCCACAACTCACACATCAACCCAAATGGGGAGTGGACATTTTGCCAAGGAAGGCTTTGGGAGGGCTTCTTATTTCAGAAATCTGCAAGTAGTTGATTGGGACAATAGCCTCCTCCCTTTGTCTAATCTCAAATTTGTGGCTGATAAGCCAAATTGTTATGACATACAGGGAGGGGTTAATCATGTTTGGGGCAGTTATTTTTATTATGGAGGGCCAGGGAGAAACTCAAAGTGTCCCTAAAAATTATTTGTAGGGTATAGATGTGCGGTGGGCACGGGTCTAGCGTTCTTGGCCGACTGAATCACCATGATTTACCTCCTCCACCATCCTTGTCGGGCCAAGGGGTGGGGGTGCCTAGGGTGGACGATTCCACCTTTTGGACCGATTTATAAGGCATAGATGATCGAGCAAATCATAGGATGAGTAGTTTTCTTCCTTTCTTTTATACCCCGAATAGGGAATTTTTTTTGTAAATTTGTATACGGAAAGAAAAATATATACGCAAATATAGATATGATTTTGTTGTGCAATGTAATATTATACTCCCTCCGTCCTATAAAGATAGGAACATGTTGAGTAAAGTGGTAAACTAAGGTAGGAATAATTTTGTGTTGATTTTCTAAAAATACCATTATTGTGATGAGTAAAAGTAAGAATGTGGTTTTAAATTATTAGAAAAAAAGTATGATGCGGTGATATGTAGAGTATGAAGAAGTAAGAGATAAAAGAGATTTTTTAATAGATATGGGAAGGACTTTTAGGGACATGATTTTTTTAAAATGTGAATGACTTTTTGGGACGCATGGAGTATTATTAATAAGTTATTCAAAATGCTAACTAACACCTAACATAGCATTCTATCGAAATGTAGTTATAGATGCCAATATTATATAAATTTGAAACAAGAAACCCCTTCACATATATGTCCTTGGCATACCAAAAGATATCCTTAAAATTCTCCCAGCCATTCTCATTCATAACATGTCTTCTGAAATGAGAGAAAAAAACATTCATTTCCATTGGGCATTTCCAAGGCATTGCAATGATGGCAAGAATTCTTGGAATTTTTGTCATCACCTGCATGATATATCTGTTTACCCGGACATCTTCTTCTCCCTTAGGAGACCTTCTTTTCAACCCATTTTCTCCTCCCCAACGCGAGGGAGACGATAATGAAGGCGGACTACAAGTAGGGTTCTACGATCAGACTTGCCCAAGGGCACAAGAAATTGTCAAAGACGTCATGTTTAAGGCATTCCAGAATGACTCTGGCCTCGCCGCCGCCATGGTTCGCCTCCAAAGTCATGACTGCCTTGTCAATGTGAGCCTTCTTCGTTTCAAATTGATAATGCCAATGCTAGCTTAAAACACTCAAACATTCACCTAATGAAATGAAGAAAAAATAAGATGAAATGGATAAATACACGGGACAGAATAAGTATAATAATGCATTTGTCCTAATTGATAGAATTTTTTATCGTGAGTTATAAATATTGCACAATAATACAAAAATCAGACTATTAATTAAAAAATTAATCTATTGTATTAATATGCGTTGTAATTTTTATTTAATTACTCCGATCCCCTGACTAGAATGTTTTTTTTGTGATTGACATTCAAGATTTAATTCTTAAATATAGGAAATCTATCTATAAAAAACTAAACTATGAAATTTGTACCAAATTAAACCTTATTCTCCGTATGTTTTTACCTCAAATAAATATGAATATTGATACTATAAAATCCTTGTTATTTTGTATTACTCCGTATGTGTTATCATTTCATGATACAGAGTATTTCTTCGCAATCTGGCATTATGCTTTGACATTATTTTATAATATAAGTCCTATTTTGATATAAAATATTAAAAGTCCTATTTTGATATAAGAAAATCATATTTTTAACATGAGCTAGACTTTTTTCCTTTCAAACGTAGACCACAATATACAAAAAATGTACGTATTTGAAAGGTAGTTTTAAAACATCATATTTCCAAAATATGGCCAAATAGCATTGGTACCACTCGTGGTTTGCAAAACAAGCACCAATACTTCTTCTGTTTTCAAAACTCATTTCTAAAATCCCTATAGTTTCAAAATGTTGCACTCGTGTCCCCTCTAATTATTTTCCGTCCATTTTTCCGACGAAGAGGGGGCATTGGTGCATGTTTTTTAAATCATAGGGGGTATCAGTACTGATTTTTATTTCTTGCATATTTTTTGTTTTTTCCATTTTTTCCTTTTTTTGTTTCATTTATAATAAGTTTTTTTAAAATTATTTTTATAAGGTTTCTTAAAATTTAAAGTTACTTTTGTTAGAAAAAATTAACATATAATGCATATGTACGTCTCAAATTAACAATTTTTGATTTTTCTGAAAAAAAGTAAATTTTTTTGAGAACTTCAAGAAAATTAAGAATAAAATAAGAAACAAAATAATGCAAAAATTAAAATGAATATCCTTTTTGGACATATTAATTATAAGGACTAGGCGTGTAATTTTTTTTGTATAAGACTTTTTTTGCGTATTTTAATTTTTTCATTTTATTTTTCCATATTTTTATTTTTTTATTCTTGGTTTTTTTTGAACTTTTCAAAAAATTATTCTAAGTAACAAAAAGTGAAAATGTTTAATTAGAGATAGATTTAATGAATGTTAATTTTATATTTTTATTTTTATTTGAAGCATAAAATTTTAAAATTTTTGAAACATTAAAAAAAATTGAAAATATATTTTCAAAAAAATCTAGGAAAAGGAAAAAGAGATAGAAAATATTTTTAAAAAGGGAAGAATAACAAACGAAAATAAGAAATAAGCACGAATGCGCCCTATGATTTAGAAATTATGCGCCAATGCTCTCTCTTCGCCGGAAAATGGCCAGAAAATGATCAGAGGGAGTGTGGGTGCAACATTTTGAAACCACGGGAATTTTGAAAACAGATGGGGTATTTATGCCAATTTTTCAAACCACAGGGATACGGAAGCTATTTGTTCTCCAAAATATATATCTATGTCTAAATAGAGACATTAATGATCAAAATATATCACCGTAAACAAATAAAAACATTAATTTGAACAAAAGGGCAATGTTTAACTCTAATTCCATTTGACTAGACAAATTTTACGGAATGTGCAGGGATGTGACGGATCTGTTCTGCTAGACCAGGTGGCCGGCGGAGGCCGGGTGGAGAAACAAGCTCCGGCGAACGGAAAGACCGTGCGGGGCTTCGATCTGATCGACAGTGCCAAGGAGGCGGTGGAGAGAGAATGCCCCGGCGTCGTATCGTGCGCCGACATACTCACATTCTTGTCCCGTGATGCCCTCGTTTTGTCCGGGCTGCCCGAGTTTGACGCCCCCGGCGGGCGGCGCGACGGCAGGGTGTCCCGGGAAGAGGACGTCGTGAAATCCATCGCCTCCCCTAACAACACCGTGGATCAGCTGGTGCGTCTATTTGAGACCAAAGGGCTGGGTGTGGAGGATATGGTGGCGCTATTGGGTGCTCATTCCATTGGCGTTGCTCATTGCTCTAATTTCAGGCATGTTTTATAACATTAGGATATGTTCTTCTATAACCATTCTATTAATATTTTCATCTGCGGAGTATAATTTTGTCATTGAATTAGTACTCACAAGTTAAGGCTTGTTCATCGTTCCAAGACCAGATCAAATCGAACCAGACCGGACTCAAAATCAAATTGCACAAAACCATGGATCAAAGATCAGACCTAAACGAATTCAGTTTTTGATCGGATCGGACTAGACTGAAATACTTAAGACAAAACCGGTCCAAACTCATTGACCAGTCAGACCGAATAAAAAAATACTTTGTTATTATTTTGATCCATTAATTATATTTTAGGGTTTTAAATTTATACCGTGCAAACAGGAAAAAATAAAATAGAAAAACTAAAATAGATACCCATGGACTGCTTCTATGTATAATCATCAAAAGTAGTGTGGAATTGTTTAAAAGAAACTTAATTAAAAACCTTGTTAATTAAATAAATTAAGATATATATCAAAATAAAGCATCAACACATAATACCAAACTTAAAAGGTAGTGTTTTAGCATTTTGGCCTTTTAGGTCCAATAGTATTAAGTCCATTCGGTCCAATTGGTCGGAACCTATATTATTTCGAGTTTGGACAATACCAGATCGGAATCCGAATGCCTAATTCTTTTGGATCAAAGGCTGATCCAAAATCCATTCGATCCGATATAGTTTGGACCTTACGGTCTGGTTCGATCATGTTTTTCGGTTTGGACCTAAACCTGGACAACCCTGATCCCAAGTTCAATTCGGTCCCTGTAAGTTTTACTTGACTCAAACTAGTCCCCGGAACTAGAAAATGTGAATCAAAATTAGTATGTAATAATTTTGAATCTTTGATTAATCCTCCTCCACAGGTATAGGTTAAAGGATCCAAAGAAAGAAAAAGAAGTGGAGGGGTCGATGAAGGTGGTGATGGGATTCCAATGTCTGAACAGGAGGCACACAGTCCCAATGGATAGCGTGACAAACTACCGAATGGACTCCGTTTTCTACAGGCAGTTGCTGAAGAAGAAGGCGTTGCTGGAGTCCGATCAATTGTTGGCCTCCGATTCGAGAACGCAACCACTGGTGGAGAAGTTCGCCGGCGACGAGGCCGAATGGTTCCGCAAGTTCACGGAGTCTTTCATCAAGATGGGGCAGATTCAAGTGCTCACGGGGGATCAGGGAGAAATCAGGAGGAATTGTAGATTTGTGAATTGAATTAGTTTCTCGCATTTATCGCTTTAATTCCCTTTTTTATTGTTTCTCCTGTTATTATTACGAGTAAATTCCATAATTGGTCCTTTATAACAGAGGGTTTCCATATTTAGTCCTCTATTATCAAATATTACCCCCATAGTCCTTTTTTAAGGGTACCTTTCCACAAATGGTCCTTTTTTTGAAATTCTACCGTGTTGGTGTTAATTTAAAGGTTAAAAGTATAATTTGGCATCAACATTATGTCTAGTAACATGTTCTGATATTGGTTAAGCGGATAACACAAAATTAATGACTATGATTGTGGGCTAGGATTCTGACGAAAGATCACATTTGTAGACTATAGTTGTCGTAAAAAGCGACTGTAATTCACAAACGACGCTAACGCAGCATCCTTTGGAATTGTGTATGACAAAAAAATATATTATCATTGTGAAATTACACTTTTAGCCTTCAAATTAACACCAACATGATAGAAGATCAAAAAAAGGACTATTTGTGGAAAGGTACCCATAAAAGAAGGACCACTAGAGTAATATTTGATAATAGAGGACTAAATAGGGAAACCCCCTTGTTATAAAGGATGAATTATAGAATTTACTCTATTATTATTATTGGAAAGATTCATACGGAGTATGAAGTTGGTGGATAATATATTATTCACTCGATTAAACGAAAACATCTCACATCATACTTTATACACCCATAGTTCCAAATTCTTGTGTGTCTCACAAAAATGGCATGGAGACTCACAATGTTAATTTTCAATAAGAATTTTCTGATGCTTAGTACTCTCTATTTTAAAAATATTGTGAAAACATGTTTTAAATAAATTCTTAGCAACAAAACTTAAAAATATTTACTCTCTCGGTTCTAAAATCATCTTCCAATTACTATTTACATCGTCACATTTTATTTACATTTTTTCTTATTTTCATAAGTCATTTGATATTATTTTAAAATTTTACACCAATAATCAAATAAATTAAACTAAAAATGAAGTTGGTCAAACCTCGTAAAATGAAATGGGCAGTAATTAATTTTAGGAAAAAGGGAGTAATAGTAAAACGAGCATTTTTTGACATAAAGTGTTTGTCTAGTTTTGACATTTTGCGTTCAAAATTGACAAACTTTGACTTTTTAATAAAAAAATTGATATTAAAAATTTATAAAAAAACCAATTTAATTACATTTATCTTGTATAACATTTTTAAAATATTATTTCATCTCATTAATCTACTATATAATATATTTTTTATTATAGGTCAAATATTGATCTTTTTTTTTTGAAACTACAAAAAGTCAAACTTCACTAATATTTTAGGATGGAGGGAGTACTTAATTTGTCCTAAAGTTTTTTTTTTAATTTTTACCCATTGTAGCAACACTTTATAAACTTTGACCATTTAGTAAATAAAATTTATATTATATACTAATACAATAACAATTTTATTAGATTTATCTTGCAAAATATTTTTGAAATATTATGTTATCTAATTTAGAGTAAATTCTATAAATGGTTCCCAATTATAGGTAATTTTCCATATTTAGTCCTCAATTATAAGATATTCCAAAAACAACACCTAATTTTTGAAAACTATTCCACAAAAAGTCCTTTTCACCAAATATGACAAAAACAAATCCCACAGATAGCCCCTGAAGGATGAATTAAGGAATAGTTTTCATAAATTGAATACCCTTTATGAAATATCTTATAGTTGGGGACTAAATACGGAAAATCGTCTGTAATTTGGGATTATTTATTAAAATTACTCTCTAATTTGTATACAGTGTAATTTTTATATAATTATGTCTAGACCGACAAAAGTAGAGGAACTCTATTTCTTACACTAAAAAACAGGCCAAATAGCGCCAGTACCCCTTGTGGTTTGCAAAATAGGCACTACAACCCCCTCTGTTTTCAAAAGTTATTTCTAAAGTCCTTATGGTTTCAAAAATGCTGCACCCGTGCCCCCTCTGATCATTTTCCGGCCATTTTTTGCTTATTTTTTTGTTTTTTTTCATTTTTTCCTTTATTTGTTTTTTTTATTAATAAAGGTTTTTTTAAAATTATTTTTATAATGTTCATAAAATTTAAAGTTATTTTTGTTTGAAAAAATTAACATATAATGTATATGTACTTCTCAAATCAACAATTTTTATTTTTTCTGAAAAAAGTAAACTTTTTTTTGAGAATTTTAAAAAAATGATGAATAAAATAAGAAACAAAATAATAGAAAAATAAAAATGAATATCTTTTTCGATCTCAATTTTAAGGACTTTTTTAGGCTTGTCCGTTTTTTTGTATCTGACTTTTTTCGTGTATTTTTAGTTTTCCATATTTTTAGTTTTTTATTCTAGGTTTTTCTTTTTGAACTTTCCAAATAAGTACATAACAAGAAGTGAAAATGTTTAATTTCAAATAGATGCAATGTACGTTATTTTTTTTATTTTTATTTTTATTTCAAACACAAAAAATTTTAAAATTTTAAAACATTATAAAAAATTGAAAATTAATTAGAAAAATATCTAGGAAAAGAAAAAAGAAATAGAAAATATTTTAAAAAAGGAAAATACAAATAATAAACGAAAAAATAAAAAATGAGCACGAATGCCCCTTATGGTTTAAAAATTATGCGCAAATGCCCCCTCTTCGCCGGAAAATGGCCGAAAAATGATCAGAGGGGGCACGGGTACATCATTTAGAAACCACGGGGACTTTAGAAGTAAGTTTTGAAAATAGAAGGGATATTGATGCCAATTTTCCAAACCACAGGGGGCACCGGAGCTATTTGGCCCTAAAAAACAATTATAGATACGCACACCTACATGGTTACACTTTGGCGGTGATAGTTTCAAGGGGAAAATCTCAAGAATAATGTTAAGGATATACCAATTTGGTGCAACATCTCCTCTCACCGCATGTTCCGTAGTTCTTAGGTTGTGTTTACTACACATAATCTGAATGGTTTTGATCTGATTGAAATAAATTTTGATATGATAATATTTGATTATAGTTACCTTTATTATTATTTCAGATATAATCTGGTTTGAACTGATTCTACGAAAAAAAAGTAAAAAGTAAAACGAATAAGTTGAAGAGAAGATGACCTTAATCATTCTCGAATTTTCTTATCGACACTAAGGGCATTAGAAATACGTTTGAAGCCCCGGGTCTTCAAACTTTCTCTCTCTGCCACGTCAGCTTTAACTTACACCCAAAATTCACTGGAAATGGGTTTGAAGCCCCGGGGCTTCAAACTGGGGCTTCAAACCTTCATTTTTTACATTTTTAAATATACATCTTCTAAAATTAAATTAATAAAATGTAATTAATTTATTATTTAATTATATTGAAACACGAATAATAAAAAAAATACATTCATTAAATAAAAAAAGCGACAATAATAAAAAAAAGATACATTAAATAAAAAACTAAGGAAAATTATATTTCTCCTTGATCTCTTTTATTCTTTGCTCGTAGAGCATTCGTCCAATCTCCGACAACGTAGAAAGGTTGGTTTCCATGACTTTCATCTCGGCCTCCTGCTCCTTTAGCTTCAACTCCTTCTCCTTTAGTTTCAACCTCTCTTGTTCTCGGAGATTGAATGCCCGAAGTTGTTCAACCATTTCCCGGTCGATTTCGTCGCGGGAAGAAGCGGAAACAGAGCCGGACCCTCCCGAACCCGAGGCAATGGATTTTGCCTTCTTTCTTCCGATCGGCCGTGGAATGAGGTCCTCGTCATCTGAATCTGCAACGTTGAAGGGAGGAATTTGATCGGACGAACCGATAGTCTCGTCGACCTCAACCTCGGCGTCGACAGAGGATCTTTTCCGGAACGATCTGCCGTCGGGATTGTTGAGTTGTTGCCACTTCGGGGAACGGCTCAAAATCCTCCAAAAATCGATGGGCACCTTGCCTTGGTACCCGTCGTCTTGATACCAGGCCGTGGCAAGCCGGAGAACATCGGCGTCGTTCGTCCCGATCCTCCGGGACCAGGAGCATTCCTCGTAAACTCCGATAAACTTTCAGACTTTACGGTTGATGTGGCTCCATTTAGAAGTGAGTTGGTCCCGGGTTCGGTAGGAGCCGTCCGTGTTCATCGCCGTGAAGAACTTCTCCTCGATACGATCCCACATCGCATCCTTCGTTTGCTCCGAACCTTTAAAAATGTATAACACAATTTTTTTAGACACCATTAAATATAATATATATATATATATATATATATATATACATAAATATATTAGAAAAAATAAAATTTTTACCAATGATAGGATGCTCGGAGACGTCAACCCAAGCCGACGCCAATAAGCACTCCTCCTCTGGCGTCCACTTTTGGATTGACCGTGCCGCCTCGGTCATCGTGCCTTTGGCTTTGTGGCTTTTCCGGCGTGTACTTTTTTTCGACCCGATCAGTTCTGGTTGAGTCTCTGGAACTGAATCTCGCACGTACCTGGATTGTTGCGTCTCGTAGATCGGCGGTCGATCGCCCCATGATAGAGATAGTTAATTAGAATATTTTAATTAGTTATATTATTATTTAGAAGTTATTTATTATTATTATTATTATTATTATTATTATTATTATTATTATTTATTGATGTCTTAGGGTTTTAGTATGGGCCCGAGCCCATTAGGTCAATTAGGGTTTTCTGCGTCTTTATATATTGTAACCTTTCGTTATTATTATTCAATCAATCAATAATCAAGAATTCTTTTAATTTCTCGTCTCTCTTTTCTTGGAGCCCGGAAACGCTCGAAGTTTTCCATCTTTCTCTACCTCTTCTTCTTGGAGCTTGAAGAACGCTCGAAGTTCTTCCCTATCCGATACGATATTCGTATCAATTGGTGCTTTCATTGTTGAACTCACCCAAAAAAAACAAAAACTAAAAAAAATTTTGAGTGCAGATCTGGTGGAATTTGGGTTTCTTCGCACATAAACATCAATTCAAGGAGGAGTTTGATCTTGCATCATTACCAATTGAACGTCCACAATCAAGTCGATAGGCATAACTCTTCTCCCGCATACCTCTTTTTCAGTCAAATCCATATTGTGTCATATGGAGGGGAATTTTTTATTACGAATGGAGGCCCAATTTGCACGGATAGAGATTTTGATTATGAGTACCAATGCATTGGACGCACTTATTGATTTGCTTGAAAATGTTTTATATGGAGAAATTGAGTATGATGAAGGAGTTTGCACACTTTTCGATCACATAGATGAAATTATCAAGAATCTACGGTCATTTTGCCCTATTGAAGGTCGGACAAATTATGATTCTGATTTACACGCATTTGACATTGAAATCTCTTGCGTGATTCAGGATTTGGTTCGTGGACCCCAAATTTTGCCGAGTTTGATTCCTTCAGAGTTACAAAATTTCAGAACAAACATGGTGAATGCCATCTCGAACCTCATCAGTGCTCCACTTTCTCCACCCAATTTGGCTCCTATGGTCACCGTACAAAATACTGAGTTGCATGAAAAGGAATCAAAGGATGACTCTGGCGTCGAATTATATGTTGGGGATGACATGGACAATGGGTCTGAGGCCATAAACAAAGATGACGGGAGGTCTAACTTCGTGGAAAAAAATGAAGGGTCTCATACAGAAGATGTTGCTGATGCCTACAAGTGTGATCTTACATCCCATGAATTTTATGCCTCGCTAAATACCTTGGCGTGTGTAGACAATGTCAACTACGACGTTCTAGGAGATGTAGACCATGTAGCAGAGAACTCAATTTCGCTGGACACTTTCAAACTGTTTGACATTGTTGATGTTGTCAAGTCTGAGTACCAAGTTTCAAATGAGAGAGTCCCATATAGGTTTTTCTCATCTCATATTCTCTCATCTACATTGCAATTGGCAAGGTTCATGAAAAAACAGTCACCGGGTGGACTCTTTTGGTTCAGCATTCTTTCTCCAGTCTTAAAGCACGAGTGGGAGCCTCCACCTTGAGGACAAGGTGGATTTTAAAGGGGTGGGAATGATAGAGATAGTTAATTAGAATATTTTAATTAGTTATATTATTATTTAGAAGTTATTTTTTATTATTATTATTATTATTATTATTATTATTATTATTATTATTATTATTATTATTTATTGTTGTCTTAGGGTTTTAGTATGGGCCCGAGCCCATTAGGTCAATTAGGGTTTTCTGCGTCTTTATATATTGTAACCTTTCGTTGTTATTATTCAATCAATCGATAATCAAGAATTCTTTTAATTTCTCGTCTCTCTTTTCTTGGAGCCCGGAAACGCTCGAAGTTTTCCATCTTTCTCTACCTCTTCTTCTTGGAGCTTGAAGAACGCTCGAAGTTCTTCCCTATCCGATACGATATTCGTATCACCCCACTCCTGGTAAAACAACATCGCGGCGTCGCTTGGCGGGAAAGAAGCCGGAGCCTGGCAGATTCATGTTGAAAAGAGAGGGGGTGATTTCGAAATTTAAAATATGGGAAGAAGAAGATTGAATAAGATTGAAGAAGGAAGGTGTGAGAGATTGGGAGGGGGGGTTTAAATTTATAAGGAATTTTTTTATAGCCCAACGGCTATTATAGCCGTTAAAGGGGAGAGGGGAAGAGAATGACGAAGCGTCATTCGTTTGACCCAGGCGCTGTGACGCTCGGGTAACGCCGCCGGGGGCGGTGTTTAACGCCCCTAACGCCGGTCGGCGTTACATGCAAACCCAGTGCTCTAAGGGGGGTATATTCAATTGAGATTCTTATAGATTTATTTTGAATTTTAAAAAGTCTACGGATTTAGAACATTATAAACTTCATTTAGAATGAAACTAGTAGCAGAACTTCATCCTCCGATTGTAGGCGGAATTTTGAAGAGAGAATCTTCTAAGATTATTCATCTTCTTCTAATTCCTCTTGCTGCCTAAACAAACTGTGAGGGCAGAATTGAAGAAGAACCAAAACAGATTGGACTGCGGATGAAGCTTTTTCAACTACAAAGCTGCATAAGAATCCAAGTGTGAGAGTGCAGGAGAAGAAGAGATACGACCACAGTGAGTAAGCTAAGAAATAAGGTAACGTAAATGGGAAGTTAGGAAGGTTGTTGAAGAATTAAATAACTTTGGGGTATTATGGTCATTACATATCTATTTTAAGTGTGTGAGAAATGATTTTTAGGACAGAGAAAAAAGGAAAGTTAAAGTATGATTAAAATCGAATAAAATTATGCATCAAAATTTATAACATATTACCACAAATACGACAAAAATTATTCTTTTTTATCCAAAATTAGAGCTTTCTAACATATTTATTTGAGTGATTATTTAATTTTGTTACTTTTTAACACATATTTTTTTTTACGATTTTCCAACTCCTTTCAATTTTTTTCAACTTCTTTCAGTTTCTTAACTCATACTCCCTCCGTCCCAAAATATTTGCAACATTTGCTTTTTCAGCAATCGCTGGAACTTTTGTTTATTTCTACGCTTTCATTGGTTATTTGATAAAATAAAATATTCTTGACACCTCTTATTTCGAAGAATTTTTTATTTAGTTTTTTGATATGTAAATTTTATTTTTTATTTCTATACCAATATGTAAATAAAATGAATTGAAAAAACTTGATATTTTATCTCAGGAATACAAGTGTGACAAATATTTAGGGACGGAAGGAGTATAATTTTTTCCAACATGTAACACTGAAATTTCAAAAAAAAAAAACAGGGTCCTCGTATGCATATAATTCTTTTGTAACCCCAAACTACATACTCCCTCCGTCCCCAATTTGATTACAAATTATGGGTTACGGAGTAAAATTTCCTACTTTTTGAAATCATTTTATTTACAAATTGGTATATCAATAAAATATAAAAATTACATATTAAAAAACTACGTGAAAAGTTCTACAAAATAAGAGGTGACAAAACAAAAATTGCGTAAAAAAACAAAAGTTATCGGGAGGAGAGAGAAAAAAAAATTGTAATCCATTTAGAGACGGAGGGAGTATCTTTTTTTTCACAATTTGTCTTTTTCTTGTCATTTTCCACATCACTCTGAGGCTCTCTCATACACCACCGATCCTGAGTTGCTGTGGCGTGAAGAATTAATTCCCTATCAGTGAAGGAAACACAAAAGTGTTCCCAATCAGTGCAATTCAGAAAAATTGAGCTTAACGGTACTTGATGTACCGTTTATAACTTTTTTTTGGTTTTGTGGCCTCACATATACGGAGTATACCTTTGAGCTTCTTCCATTATTATTGTGAGTTTAGAAAATTGAGCATTAAGGATACTATATATAATAACAAAAAAAAAAATTTAAACATCAAATTTCAAATAAAACTGAAATTTTGTTTTTATAACCACTCAATTCCCAATTAGTACTAGAAAAAGTCTACAACCATTTAATCTCACTTAAAAGTAAAAAAAAATAGTGCATCCTCAAACTCCACCTAAGAATAAAAAAATAACTTAAACATCAAATCTCACCTAACACTGGAAAAAATCTACAACCACTCAATTCTAACCTAACATTAAAAAAATCTACAACCATTCAAATGTCACTTACTCCCTCCGTCCCAATTTATTTGCAACACTTCGAACGACGTGCAAAATATTGTCTCTTTTAAAATCACTTTAATTTTAAATAGGTAGAGTAATAAAAAGTAAAAATTACACCATTCAAAAGTATATGAGAAGTTCTACAAAACAAGATGCGTCCCAGAGTATTTGTCATGAACATAGAGTTCTCAATGTAAATGTCCATCATTACTGGACATTATTCCTCAATGTAAGACTTTTGGTCATTATTAAGTACTACTTCTGTCCTAGAGTATTTGTCCACTTTCATTTTTACACACCATCCAATACACTTCTTTAATCCATTTTATCTTGTAATTTGTATATTAAAAAATTATAGAAATTATATATTAATAATCTATATGTTAAGACAAATCAAACAAGATCACACATGACTATATTTAGGCTTACACATTGAGAGAATTTGATGAGTCAAAGTGCTTAGATGAACAGTTCCAAAAGTCAAAACTGGACGAATACTCCGGGACGGAGGGANATCCATTTTATCTTGTAATTTGTATATTAAAAAATTATAGAAATTATATATTAATAATCTATATGTTAAGACAAATCAAACAAGATCACACATGACTATATTTAGGCTTACACATTGAGAGAATTTGATGAGTCAAAGTGCTTAGATGAACAGTTCCAAAAGTCAAAACTGGACGAATACTCCGGGACGGAGGGAATAGTCATTATTCAAGTAAATGTCCATCATTACTGGACATTATTCCTCCCACAAGGTCATTATTAAGTCCTATTTAGGGAATAAAAAAGTTTAAGTCCTACATTAGGAAAGTCATTATGATTTCGATTTTGGGTTTAAAGCTTCAAACCTAGCAACGAGGTTGGGAAAGGAGTGCGAGGGGAGGAAGGAAGCTTAATTAAGGAGAGAAAGGAGTGTGAATTTACAATTTTATTCACGTTCTTAACAGAAATGTTAACAAAGGACCATTCGTAGAAATGAATATAATAATTGGGAACTAAATTAGTAATATGTGATATGTATAGACTAAATATGTAATACAACTTATAATTGGGGACCATTCATATCACAGTTGACTCAAGATGACATTACATAAGGTCTCCAGGATCAGAGAGGAGAAGTGGCACAACAAAGGCCACTTCGTAAAGAATTTTTTAAGTATTTACTGTACTTTAAAGTTTTTAATCTTGTATTAATTTGGATGCTAAAATCTTTATTACTGTATTAATTTGGATGGTTATGTACTATAACAAAATATCTCATCTAACACAACTTTTATTGATATAGTTTTTGTTAATTATTTGATAAAATAATACAGTCTTGTCACCTCTTGTTTTGTAAAACTTTTATTGTAGTTTTAAAATATATAAATTCTATTTTTAAATATAACATCAACAATTAATATATACTCCCTCCGTCTACCATAGATCTTCCTAATAGCCTTTTTTCTTTGCCAACAATAGATCTTCTCATTTCATTTTTTAACAATTAAAATACCACAACTACCGCACTTACTTTATTTATTACACCTCATCCACCTCATTTAATACACTCGATATATTTTCATTAAGGGTATTATGGTAAATTTTCATATTTTTTCAATTCTTCTTAAACAGTACAAAAGGTCAAAATGAGAACACCTTAGGGAGGCGGAGGGACTAATTATTACTAAATATAAAAAAAGTAAAGAGTAAACCATAACCCAAATAAATACACTAAAACGGTAGAGCATCTACCGGTAATACATAAAAAAACATAAAGCCCAGCATGTCAGATCTACCTTCACTAAATGGGAATCCTTTTTTTTTCTTGCACTGATTGGGAATACACCCTGGCGTGAACCGGGTGATTTCCAAAAGAGTGAAGATTTCAAAAATCCATTCCCAAATGGTGATGTACTTGCAAACATATCACATCACCACTCACTTCACTGACTTTTATGTGTCATTGTGCCCCTTTTGCTATTTTTTTCTTTTTTCATAACCGTAGTAAGTTTTTTAGCCCTTTAGCCATCATTAGTCTTTTAATAATAATAATAATAATAATAATAATAATAATGAGAATAATAATTGATGGTGTAAATTACCACGCAAATACAAAGTAAAAGTAGTCGGAAGGGCTGTAGGTGAGAACACCTGTAACCCGGTTTGTTATTGATAATTGTTGGGACTATTACAAAATACAAGCCGTGTAGGTTAATTAGAACTTACCTCACAAATGAGGTTATCCAACCGGTCGTTTGTCTGACCGGTCGCATAAGAGTACTTCGAGAATCTTTCTGCAGGTGTCGTGTGCTCATTCCCTCCAGCCAACCGGTCTCCCGACCCGGTCTCCGAAGTACATGATCTGCCATCTCCTGTCACCACCCAGTCAGGCGAACCAACCGGGTGGTATCCATGGGTTATTACCCATCAAGGAGTCCTCCGATTCCCGGTCTTGTGGGGACCATCAAGAGCGGGAAGCACATGCGATTATCTTTTGAAATTTGAACTGCCCAGTCGCTTTTTGGCGGGAAAATGGCCTCGGAAAACCAGCGCCTAACCCAAAACATTTGAAATTTGAAATTTGATTTTTGAATTTTCAAAAACCGGGTGTCCAAAGCGGGAGAATCTCATCGAAATCGGGTACAGAGCCGCCGATTTAATGTGCCTTTTCGTCTCCCCGAGAGGTTATGAAGACAAATCATTTCAGCTGCCACGTGTCAGTTCTTTATTCGCCCGTCTGGGCGGCATCTCCCCTATATAAAGCGTCGTTCTCCTTGGAATTTCCTCACTTGCAAATCTTCGATTCAAAAAACTGCCCGACTTCTTCTGCTATTTCCGAGTCCTCCGAGTCTTCTAATTGTTTCCAAGTAAGTCTCTCCTTCCCTTTCTGAGTCATGTCTGACCGTGAGGATAGCCAGAACCCGTCCGCTCACTCCTATGGTTTTGGTGGCCGGTCTCCAACATTTGGTTCCTCTTCTTCTTCTTCATCCTCCGATTCCGAGCGCCCGACTACTTCTCCACAGAAGAAGCCGGTTGATGCTTCCACTTGCGCTCCTTCTTCTCCCGTGGCGCAAGTGGTCTCGGTTGCCCAGATCGGGGACGAGGGCTTCATCCAGCTAGACGACCGGTTGCTCCAAGAGCAACCGTCGTATATGCAGAAGCCCCAAGTCCACGAGCTGCGTAATCTGATGCCTGATGGGTATCAATTGACATACCGGGCAACATGGAAGAGCATCATACCTCTCCACACCGGTACGTCGATTGGTATCCACTACCATTCGATCAAGGACTTGGGTGAATTCTCTATTCACCCATTCAAAGTCCTTTTCCTTGAGACCTACGGGATCATGCCCGGGCAATTGGCCCCAAATGGTCACCGTTTGCTGGCCAGTTTCATCAACGTCTGCCGGTTTCTCCGTATTCCTCTCTCTCTTCGCCTCTTCGATCACATGTTCGATGTCCGGCCCGGATCCAAAGAAACTCTTGGATTCGTGGTGGTGTCTTCCCACCAAGGCCGGGCATTCCTCTGTGGCCTTCCACCTTCTAACAAGAAGTGGAAGGACAAATACGTGTCCATCAAGTTCCCCCCGGCCTCTTTTCCTTTCGCCCAAAATGTCTGGGGGAAGAGAATGAGGCGTCAGGTCAAACCTGTGGAGGCCGATGACCTGGCTGCTTGGGAAGCCACTCTCCGGACCGGGGACGCCTCCACCCGCGGTCAGTACCACGTCGGGAAGTGGAGCGTCTACCCCGGCCGGAAGACCGACCCCGAGCCGGAGATTGTTCTGCCCGGGACGATCCCCGAAGCCATCCCCATCAGCCGGGCGATGGGATCCAAAGCCAAGGCCACAGCCGCCGCCGGTCCTTCACGCCCGGCGAAGAAGAAGAAGGAGAAAGGTCAATCAACCGCCCTTCTCATTTTTTTTTAATTTATTCGCAACTCCTTTCTTCTAACCGGTTTCTTTTTTGTTTCAGTGGTGAAATTCCAGTCCAAGTTTCCCATCCCACAGATAGTGGTTGAGGAGCCCTCCACCGCTCAGCCACTCAACCCTCCATCCGGCCAGCCCTTCTCCCTGGAGGAGCAATCCACCCAATCCCATCAGGGAACCAACCAGCCGATTCACTCGGGGGATCTCTACATCAATGTAGATACCTTCGAGTTCGACACCCTGATGGGAGAGACCGGGCACACATCCCAGGCTGGGAGGGGAGGCCAGCCCAATGAGGAGGTCGAAGCTGAGGAAGAGGCCGCTGAGGAGGCTCTTCAACGAAAGAGGCGGAGGACTGAAGAGGTCAACCAGCCGGCTCACCAAGGGCCCCAGTCCTCCGACGCTGGCAAAGGACCCATAGTGCCCCGGTCTCCACTCCTGATGAGCCGGTCAAACGAGGAGCTTTTCCAAGTTTTTCGTGCCGACCTGTCTGAGGTAACCCCCCTTTCCTTATTGTTTTTGTTTGTTTGTTTTTTTTTGTCTGAAAAACTTTCCATGTCTTTAAAGCAGGTCGGCCGGATCGGGGAGGAGTACTTCGCCCGGCTGGTGAAGTCGACGGATGAGGAGAAGGCCCGGATGGAGGCCATGATGGTCCAATGCCGGAAGGATGCTCAGGCTGCCCGTGAATACGCGGAGAAGACGGAGGCGAAGTGGCTGGAGCACTGCACGGTCTACCGTCAGCTCTACGCCAAACACGACGGACTTCTCAAGGCCGCGAAAGAGGCCGATGAGCAGGCCCAGGCCAAGATCCAATAGCTGGAGGCCGACAATGCCCGGTCAGCTGAGGAGATCGCCCGTCTGAGCGATGAGCTGGAGAAAGAGCAATCGGAGCGGGCTGCCGTAGCCGCTGCCTGGGCTGCCCAAGCGCCTGAGGAGTTCGCCGCTAAGGCGCTTCCTGACCGGGAGACAGCAATCCGCTTCTTCCAAGGTCTGTATAAGCACCCAATTTCGGCCGGCATTGTGGACGAGATTGGGACTTATGGCTACGAAAGTGGCCAGTGCTCTCAGCGGAAGGCCCTCTACGGCATTCTTGAGCAGCGGATTCAAGGCTTTCGGCCGAAGGCTCTATCTCTGCCCGAGCTGCATAGCGAAGCACCTGAGCCTCCCTTCTCGCGCATCTGATCCGGCCCTCTTTTTTTATGTTTTTTGATGTAATGATATGCCATGATATGCCTCCGGGCACTTTTGCAAGACTGAAATATTAATGAAAATATTCTACGTCATGTGCTGAGTACTTTATTTTTTTGTCTCATTAATTCTTTTCAACTTAGATTCTTCAACCGTTTAGATTAGTAGATAACAGCCCGGCTGTAATTATCCGGCTTAGAATACAGTTTTTACCCAAGTCTTTTCGAAAGATTGGATAATCAGCCGGGAAGACTTTAAATTTATAAACTTCTTCCCGGTTTGGTATTACCCTCGATGGCGTGTCAACTTGACCTTATTCGAAAGGTTAAGCATCTGCCCGGGCTCTTTTAAGGCTGACCTTAAATTTTTCGTCCAAACATCTGGCTTTACCAGCCGGGATGCTCTCCCACTAGTTAAGCCAAAATGTTTTTAACTCCCGCGTCAGTACGGATGAGGTATAGGATCGGTCAGACCGGTCTCTTTTTTTTTTTTTTAGCGTGTCCAATTCGATTGGAAATCTAACCGGGTAGATTAGTGCGTAACCAATAACCGGTTGTATGAGAACAATCTTTTCTGGAAAGAACAGTTTATTATTGACCGGGAGCTCATTGCACTTTATCTATAAAATTTACGCAAGTGGTGAGAGTTCCAATGTCGCTCGACCCGGCCGCCTTCCATAGTCTCCAACTGGTAAGTGCCCGGTCTGACAATTGCTTTTATGCGATAGGGCCCTTCCCAGTTTCGTACCAGCTTGCCCCTCTCATTAGGCTTACTAGCATCCCTTCTACGTAAGACTTCGTCATGTACTTGGAAGTACTGCGGCCCTACCCGGTTGTCATGATACCGTTTTATTGACTGCTGATAACCGGCCATCTTGACAGCAGCTATGGTTCTTCGTTCTCCCACCAGGTTCTGTTCAGCCAAGTGGTCGATCTCATTCAGACCGGGCTGGTAGACAGTTTCTCTAAACGTTGGTATTTCTGCTTCCACTGGTAACCGGGCTTCGCATCCGTAAGTTAGCACGAAAGGAGTCTCTCCAGTTGCTCTTCTTGAAGTCACCCTGTGCGCCCAGGACCGTGTGAGGCAAGGCTTCTAAGAACTTGTGTCCTTCCTCACCCAACCTCTTTTTTAGACCGTCCACAATTGTCCGGTTGGCGTTTTCGACTTGGCCATTTCCCTGCGGATATGCTACCGAGGCCTTGCTGTGCTTGACCCCGAAGCTAGCAAGGTACGCAGTGAACCGGGGATTGCGAAACTGGGGTCCGTTGTCAGTGATAATGAATTTAGGGGCACCAAACCGGGTGATAATGTTTTTCCAAACGAATTTCTCACACTGCCGTACGGTTATGGTGGCCATCGCCTCAGCCTCAATCCATTTGGTGAAGTAATCAATAGCCACCATCACGAACTTCTTTCCGCCTTGGGCAACCGGGAAGGCTCCAATAATGTCAATCCCCCATGGGGCAAACGGTATGACATTAGAGGTTGGTTGGTAATAAGTGGCCGGTCTACCGGGATGTTTGTAAAAAACCTGGCACGTCCTACATTTCTGGACATACCTCTCACAATCCCCAACAATGGTCGGCCAGTAGTAGCCTAGTAGGATTATCCTTTGAGCCAAAGTGCGGGACATTTGATGGGCTGCACAAACTCCCTCGTGCACCTCAGCTATTACCCGTTCAGCCTCCGGGTTGGTCAAGAAACGTAAGAGTGGTCCGCCAATGGCACGTTTGTATAGATGACCATCGATTACCTGGAAACGTGGAGCCCGTAAGACTACCTTCCTGGCTCGTTCCTCGTCATCAGGCTTCTGACCGGTCTCCAAATACTCCATGAGTTCGTATCTCCAGTCATCGTCTGCCCCGATTATCCCGGTCGCTGAAGTTTGGCCCGGTTGGATGGCCGCGACTTCAAACCGGTCTGTACTCGGTACGTCTAGTATCTCAATTTTCGCCAATGTTGACACATGCTCTGGGCAAGCTTGCGTTAATTTTGAAAGCATGTCTGCATCAGCGTTTTCCGACCGGGGTATTCTAGTCAGACGAAACTCTTCTAATTCCCTTAGAAGCGCTCGGACCAGATCACTATACCGGGCCAGGCGATCCTCTTTTACTTCCATCTCCCCATTGACCTGTCCGACCACTAGACTTGAGTCGGAACGGATCTTCATCCTTTTTATTCCGAGTGTCCGGGCTAACCTGAGGCCACCGGCCAGCGCCTCATACTCCGCCTCATTGTTGGTGAGCTTGAAGTTGAAGATCAGGGCATGGTAGATTTTGAATCCCTCCGGGGTAGTGAAGACTACGCCGGCGCCGCATCCCTTCGGTCCAGAGGCTCCATCAACGGCCATATCCCACCACGGTTCGACCGTTTGGGAAGGTCCGGCTTCGGGCTCCAGACCGGTCAGTTCAACGAGGAAGTCTGCCAAAGCTTGACCCTCAATCGCAGTCCTTGGTTTATACTCTATTTTGAACTGATTGAGCATCATCGCCCACTTGATCAACCTTCCTGAGGAGGTCGAATTTCGGAGGACCGGTCCAAGTGGCTGATCGGTCAATACTTCCACGGTGTGAGCTTGGAAGTATGCGGTCAGTTTTTTGGCTGTTATAAAAAGTGCGTATGCCGTTTTTTCAATGGCAGTGTACCGGCTTTCAGCCCCATTTAGTGCTTTACTCACATAGTAAATAGGCCTCTGGCCGTCTTCATTTCTTATCAAAACGGAACTTACAGCCTTTTGGGAAATTCCCAGATACAAGTACAAAGTCTCACCCGGTTTAGGCTTTGACAAAACAATATCAGAGACTAAGTACTCTTTCAACTGCTGGAACGCCTCCTCGCACTCCCGGTCCCACTCGAATTTATTAGCCTTCTTCAGAACCTTGAAGAAAGGTAGAGCCCTCTCAGCAGACCGAGAGAGAAAACGACTCAAGGCTGCCAACCGCCCGGTAAGTCGTTGTACGTCCTTCAGCGAACTGGGCGACCTCATTTCAGTTATGGCCTTGATCTTCTCCGGATTAGGCTCAATTCCACGCTTGGTCACCATGAACCTCAGAAACTTACCGGTCTTTACAGCAAAGACGCATTTCTTGGGGTTGAGACGCAAGTTGTACTTAGCCATAATCTCGAAGCAAAGCCTCATGTCAGCCGGGTGGTTCTCCGCCCCCGGGCTCTTGATCAGCATGTCATCCACATAGGCCTCCATGGACTTACCGAGGAGTGGCTTGAAAAGCCGATTCACCATCCTCTGGTAAGTGGCGCCCGAGTTTTTTAGTCCAAAGGCCATTACCCGGTAACAGTATGTGCCTTCAGGTGTTAAGAAAGAAGTCTTCTCCTCGTCTTCTTCGGCCATGAAGATCTGGTGATAGCCCTTGAAGGCATCCATGAAGCTCAGCAGCTCACACCCGGCCGTCTCATCGACCATCTGATCGGGACTGGGCAGCGGGTGTGAATCCATGGGGCATGCCTTGTTCAGATCCGTGTAATCCACGCACATGCGCCAGGTGTCGCCTTTTGGAGCCAAGACGATGTTAGCCAGCCAGGCCGGGTATTGCACTTCCCGTATGTGCCCGACCGCCAACAAATCCTTCACCTCTTTTTTCACAAAGTCCCTCCGGACGTTAGCCAAGTGCCTTTTCTTTTGCTTCACTGGCCGGCTCCCTTCCATCACAGCCAAGCGATGGCATATGACAGAATGGTCAATGCCCGGCATGTCTGCCACACTCCAAGCAAAAATATCTGCATATTCCCGAAGAACTGAGATGATTTCATCTCGAAGTCCTCCGGGCAGATCTCTTCCGATCCGTACCATTTTTTCTGGGAAGGCTTCCCGGAGAACGATCTGCTCGGTCTCATCACCCGGTTCCAGCTTTGACCGGTCTTCTTCTTGAGAGACCAAAGTGACTCTCTCAAAGGCCTTCATCATTTTCTTTACTGCCTCCAGATAGCAATGCCGAGCCTTCTTTTGATCCCCTCTGACTTGTCCTATACCGCCCGGGGTATAGAACTTCATACAGAGGTGGGCCATGGAGATGACCCCTCGAACCTTGTTTATCCCAGGCCGGCCCAAAATAGCGTTGTGAACACATTTGATGTTCACAACTACAAACCTCATTTGCTTTTGGACGACCTGGTCGCCTGTGCCCAGCTCACAAGTTAGAAGAATCGACCCTGCAGCTTCAACTGAGTCCCCGGTAAACCCAGACAGGGGAGTCTTTAAGGGCTCAAGCCGTGTTCGACACAACTTGAGCTTCTCAAATGCTTCCAGGTACAAAACGTTAACACTGCTGCCCGTGTCAACAAGTACCCGGGAGACATCAACTCCACCCATGTCCATAGTTATCACCAGGGGGTCATTGTGATCTTCTCCGGTGGCGGGAAGTCCCGGTCAGTAAAAGTGATCGGTTCCCGTCTTGCTTGTTTTGACCGGGGATTGAGGGCCACCGTTCCTACATAGAGCTCTCGCCCCCATTTCTTCCTTTGGGAAGCAGAGTCTCCCCCTTCTGGTCCGCCGTAGATGACTTGCAAGTGCTCCTTACCGGCTGTTTTCTTCTTCTTGTTCTGCTCGGCCGGCTGTCCTTCATGCCTGATCCACTGGTTTTTCTTTTGTTTGGCCTGAGTCAGATATTCAGGATCAATCTCCCCGGCCTCGATCATCTGCTTTATTACTCCTTTCACACTGTTGCACTCTGCAGTGTTATGGGAGTCAGTTTTGTGAAAAGAGCAATACTTCTCCGTCCACTGTTTCTCTCCGGTTGGTTTCTTCTCTGTTTTGACCGGCTTTACCTCCATGATTTCAGCTTTCACCTTACCGGGCAATCCGATCTCCTCTTTCAAGGAAATTTTTCCTTTTGAATGGCCCTGCTCAGCCTCCCGCTTGGATGACACCTGTGCCTCAGCGTCAGCATAATCCCAAGCCGTGTTATAGGCCTCTTGGTAGGATTGGGGAGGCCTCCTGCAGAATTCTTTGTATAGTTCTCCGGACCGGAGCCAGGACACAAGGAGGGACATGGCTGTTTTGTCGTCCATCTCCTCCACCTTGTCAACTTCATCCTTCCACCGGGTAAGGAACTTTGTCAGATCCTCGTGTTCTCGCTGCCCGGCTGTACTCAAGTAGGTGAATTTTTTCCTCTTGGTACAGTTTTCCTTAAACTTTTCTTGAAACACCTCAGCCAGCTCATCGAAAGAATCGATTTCACCGGCCGGTAAGTTATGAAACCACTCGGCGGCGCGGCCGCGGAGGGTTTGAAAGAAAAGCAAACATTTCTCATCCCCGGAGAGACCCATCATCCGCCCACTTTGATGGAGGGGTTTGACGTGAATCTCCGGGTCCTCCTTCCCGGTGAACTTAGGGACTTCAAGTTTCGCCTTCTTTGGAAATGGTGTTTCATGAACCCGGTCTGTGAACGGAGATTCGTTCAGCAGAATCTTCTTCTTTTCTTCCCGGTCTACCCGGCGTTGTAGTTTCTCCAGACGTGCCTCGACCCGACCCACACGATCCCGAGGTTGTTCAGCATGAGAACGGGTCGGGTGCCTGGGGTGGCTTTCGGCTTCTTCCTCTCGCGGCGTCCGGCTGTGCTGGGGCTCATCGCGAGGGGGGGGGGGGGGTTCTGGTCGCCTGGTCTGACCAGGTCGTCCGGTTCCTCTCCCCGCACGATTAAAGGCACTAGCTGGGATGGTTTCCACCCCCAACCGTTCCTTTGCTGACCGATTTTGATTTCGACCATCGTGTCCCAGCCTTTGAAAGGCCGACCTCCTAGATCCTTCTGGTTGAACATCCTTTCCCTTCAATTTTTTGAGCGCTTGGGGGACGTCCCTATCCTCGTCCTTGCTGTGGACTGAACGCACATTCCCGTTCGAGGTCACCTTTGTCTGTGACCTACGGGACCAGCTTCTCCTAGACCGGGATGGACCTGCTTTATCCATCTCCCCGATCAGGTTTGTCGAGCGAATGACGTTAGTCTGAGGCGTGGATTGTGGATACAATCCCGGATTGAAAGGTGAAAACCCTCCGGGTTGCTGGAACATGGACATGAAATGTCCAAAATTCTGAAGAGCCTGGGTGTACATTGGATCCAGGGGCCCGGGGAAATTTGAAGGAAAAACGGGAACAGGGTTCACGGGGGAAGTGAATGGGATAGGTTGTGGAATGGTGATGATGGGGGTAGGAATCTGGGTCATTTGCTGGGTACTACCTCCCGGTAATGAAGTGACGTTCTCAGCGGGGGCAGATATTTGTGAGATCACGGTTTCCTGGTTATTGGCCATGACTTTTTGTAATGGGTCCCACGGATGGGGCCAATTTGATGGTGTAAATTATCACGCAAATACAAAGTAAAAGTAGTCGGAAGGGCTGTAGGTGGGAACACCTGTAACCCGGTTTGTTATTGATAATTGTTAGGACTATTACAAAATACAAGCCGTGTAGGTTAATTAGAACTTACCTCACAAATGAGGATTTTAGGGGTATTTATAACATAATTAAGCACGTCAAGCACGTCTCTGGTTATCCAACCGGTCATTTGTCTGACCGGTCGCATAAGAGTACTTCGAGAATCTTTCTGCAGGTGTCGTGTGCTCATTCCCTCCAGCCAACCGGTCTCCCGACCCGGTCTCCGAAGTACATGATCTGCCATCTCCTGTCACCACCCAGTCAGGCGAACCAACCGGGTGGTATCCATGGGTTATTACCCATCAATAATAATAATGTCATTTAATAAAATAAAATATTCTTGTTACATTATATTTTATAAAATATATTATTTAGTTTTAAATATATAATCTTTATTTTTTAAATTTATACTCCCTCCGTCCCTAAATAGATTTCAAATTGCGGGTTACGAAGAAAAATTTCCTAGTTTTTTAAATCATTTTATTTACAAATTAGTACATCAATAAGATATAAAAATTACATATTAAAAAATTACGTTAAAAATCTACAAAACCAATTGGTATATCAATAAGATATAAAAAATAGAAAATTTTACTCCGTAACCCGCAATTTGTAATTAAATTGGGGACGGAGGGAGTATATAATCTTTATTTTTTAAATTTATACAAGTTTATAAACAAAAATTTTAAAAGTCAATAGATTTTACATGTTAATCAAAGAAAGTAATTTATTTAGGGATAGAAAAAGTAATTAAAAGATATACCAGAATTAGACCAAAAGTCAAAACTGGACGAATACTCCGGGACGGAGAGAGTATAAATTTAAAAAATAAAGATTATATACTTCCTCCGTCCCCAATTTAATTACAAATTGAAGGTTACAGAGTAAAATTTCATACTTTTTGAAATCATTTTATTTACAAATAAGTATATCAATAAGGGGTTGGTTTCCTGTGAGAATGAATCTTGATGAAAGAAATGAGAATGAATTTAAACCATTAGATTGTGTGTATCATGCGGCTCAGAGTTTGACAAGTAACTGCTTATTGATATGGTAAGTATTAATGCATTAGAAATAAAATAGGAAGAGTTGGAGTAGTAAGGGTATTTTTGTAAAAGATGTATTCCCTCCGTCCGGAAATATTCTTCCGATTTTCCTTTTTGGTCCGTCCGGAAATAATCTTCCCATTTCCTTTTTTAGTATGCTTTTTAAGGTTAAATATCAATAATACCCTTCTATTTTATCATAAATCTACTTTTTTAATACTTTTTTAATAATAAAAGAAGATTTAAAAGTTTATAATTTGTGTATTTTTGAAAATTTTGCATTTTTTTTACTATTCCTTAATAAGCGTGCCAAGTCAACATGGGAAGAAAATTTCCGGACGGAGGGAGTATTAACTAAAATAGGTAATGATCCGTGCACGGCCCAAAATTTCAGCCGTTATTAAAGGAGTGGTCAAATTAATGATGGTGATATTAATCATTTTTTTAACCGTGCAATCATGGAGTTGTCAAGTTAATGATTTCTTCTTTTTCTCCCTTTCTTTTTGTAATTTTTTTATCAAAATCAATAATGGATAATATTTACTATTAACATATTTATAATATTTTATTTCTTTTTTGCTTTATTTTAATGCATTTCTCAATGTGAAAGAGAATTTTTTATTTATTTGCATTTTTTTTTGAAAGGAAATAATATGTGGTTTATTATTTAATTTTATTTCTAAATACTCACCTCTTTTTTCATCACTTTTTGACATTTTTTTCATATTTTTTCCTCATGAGATAATATTGTTATCAATATGCACCATTTTAATATATAACTGCAATACGCATTGTAAATTATGCATGCATTATTTATTTATCATTGTATAATTACTTTTGATTGACTTTGTATGTGAGTAAAGAGTCTAAAAATACATTTTGTTGGAATAAGTGTAATATAGATTTGAAAAATATTTTTTCTATGCAGAATTCGAACCTACATTTCTAGTACATACTGATCTACCAAATGAGTTAATATGCAAGATTTGGTTTTTTCAAAAAGACTCTCATCTTGCACTTGGAAATATTAAATACGCATTTTAATCTTTTAAGTCTTGCATCATTTAATATGTTTATAACTCATATTTAAATTTTACACGAAATATCTTAAGGGAAATTTACTTAAATAGAACTAAAACATAATGTTAAAATAGTACTTAAATATTTTAATAGCACTTAAATATTTTAAAGCTTCATCGTTTGTGAAAATTCACTATCTAAAATATTCAAATGCATCATACTAGTGTTAGGAGAATTTTAACATAGATGCATCAACTTTGATTATGAAAATGCACCTTAACATAATGAAAATGCATTATCATTTACCTTGATTATGATAATGCATTGATTTCTCATGACAATGCATTATTGTAATTCTATAATGCATAACATACTCATGAAAATCCATGATTTTGATAATGCACAATATGAACAGAAAAACAAAAAAATAAGATGAAAAAAAATAAATGTGTCATCAATGTACAAACTAATGAATACCAAATTGTCTTGCAACATTGTCAAGGTCAAAAGTTTTCAACTGATTAATAGAAAAATTAACAGAAATTTAATTTATGTATACGTGTGAGCATGTGAATTTTGACACCGGCCACCACTTCAATATAGTGGAATATGATTAAGATGTTACCAATTTAATTTAATATATGGAGTAAGTCCTAGAAATGTGTATGGAAACTTGTAATAAAGAAAGAATAAAGTGCATGAAAACTTGTAATAAAAAAATGCAATACAAATACACACAATGTGCATCATAATTTGTGATAAATGCTTTTAGATTGCATTTAAATTTGACCATCTTGTTTAAACAACAAAACATGTCTACTTATAATCTTAACTCACTGCTAGAATTTGCAACCATATTGCACTACCTTGTGTGCAAAGTGCAGAACAGAAAATGCTCTATAATACTTGGTTGATATCTTCTAGTTCATAAACAATTAAGCCCAAAAAATGACATTAAAACAATTAAATAATATCTTAGTGCATAAAACGTAATTGCAGAATCATTTGCCGATCTTTTGTCAGGGAGCATCTTGAATCGTCGACTAGGAACATCGCTGTCTTTGCCTCCACATAATCAAGGACTCCGCCATACATGACTCATGGCCCACTCAGTCGTCATCGTCGCTTCAATCGGGAGACACCACCACTTCGTCCAAGCAGTAGCCGTCGCTCAAAAAGTCAAACACTGGCTTCGCCGGCTCTCACAGGAAGATTCACCACCGGTAAGAGCAGGCGAGTCGTCGCTACTCTTCTCCGATCTCTGTTTCCGGTGCCTCTCTAATAGGGGAATTCATAAATTAAATTATAAGGAAACAAGAATCTTGGTTTATTAAAGAAAGAAATTTCATTGTGTGAGAGAAAATTGAGGTGTTAATTATGGGAAGAGAAGGTCGAGTGATTTGAGAGAGATGGAAATTTGAGAAAAATACATATTTACCCATATTAAATGTCAAAGATTGAAGGCGTGAAGTGCTTGATCCAACGTTCTAAATTCATTCTCATTTCTTTCATAAGATCTCATTCTCACCAGAACCAAACTCTATCAATAAGATATAAAAATTACATATTAAAAACTATGTCAAATGTTAGAGTGTCATCTCACATCGGAAGTTCAAGAGCAAAATATTCGGTATATAAGCTCTTGAGTTGAACTAACTAATCTATTGAATTCAATCTTTTAAAGTGGTTCAATCCAAGTATCTTATTACCCAACTCAGTTGTCCATACCCCTCCTAAATTCTATCATGGTATCAGAGCTGGTTTTGGCTCACCTCGTTTGTCAAATACTCCCTCCGTCCCACTTTCTTTGTCCACTTACCTTTTGGCACACCATCCAATGCACTTCTTTAATCCATTTTATCTTCTAATTTGTATATTAAAAAATTATAAAAATTATATATTAATAATCTATATGTTAAGACAAATCAAACAAGATCACACATGACTATTTTTAGGCTTACACATTGAGAGAATTTGATAAGTCAAAGTGCTTAGATGAATAGTTCCAAAAGTCAAAAGTGGACAAAGAGAGTGGGACGGAGGTAGTATCTTATTACCCAACTCGGTTGTCCATACTCATCCTAAATTCTATCATCAAAAATTCTACAAAACAAGATGTGACAAAAATATTTTATTTTATCAAATACTTAATGAAATCGCGTAAATAAATAAAAGTTATCAAGAGCAAAAGGAAAAAAATTGTAATCTATTTAGGGACGAATGGAATATTTAAAAACTAAATAATATATTTTATAAAATAAGAATTGGCAAGAATATTTTATTTTATAAAATGACATTATTATTATTATTATTAGTATTATTATTATTATTATTATTAAAATACTAATGATGGCTAAAGGGGTAAAATGCATAAACATCACCCTCACTCATTGGGAATGCACTGATTGGGAACACTTTTGTGTTCCCTTCACTTATTGGGAATTAAATCTTGACTAGCCTCTCACTGTTGGCGACGACGATCAGTTAAGGTATGAATCTCCCTAATTTCATTCATTTCCAATGAACTCTTTGAATCTCCTAGTCCTGTCTTCCCCTCTCTGATTCTAATTCCAATCACACAAGAACCCTAGTTCCCGGCACTCGTTTTTCTTGATTGACGACATTTTTTTGTTTGATCAACCAGATTTTTCCGGGTCGCCTTTTCGATCATGTCCTCCAAACCTTTGGACTATGAGAATCTGAATGAAAATGTGAAGAAGTGTCAATATGCTGTCAGGGGCGAGCTTTATCTCCGGGCTTCAGAACTTCAAAAACAAGGGAAGAAGGTGCGTCTTTTATTTTCAAAAATTATACCAGAACAAGTTCTTAGGCATTATATGTTGGTATTTCAGAGTGTTTTTTTGGCGTTTTAAATCCTATTTTGGTAAAAAAAAACCACAAGTAAATTCCATAATTGGCCCTTCAATAATGAGGTTTTCCATATTTAGTCTTCTATTCTTTTATGGCTACTTTTCCATAAATAATCTTTTTTTGATGTTATGTCATATTGGTGTTAATTTGAGGTTTGAAAGTGTAATTTCACAATGATCATGTATCTTTCTTGTCATGCACAATGCAAGAGGTCATTTGTGAAACGCAGTTGCTTTCTGCTACAACCATAGTCTACAGATGTGGTCTCTCGTCAGAATACTAGTCCACAATCATAGTTATTAGTGTTGTGTTGTCCGTCTAACCGTCATCAGAATACGTCACTAGACATAGAGTTGATGTCCAATTACACTTTTAGCCGTCAAATTAACTCTAACATGACAGTAGGTAAAAAAAAGAACTATTAGTGAAAAGGTACCCACAAAAGGACAATGGTCATAGCATTTGATAAAAGAGGATTAAATATGGAAAACTTTATGTTATAAAGGACTAATTATATAATTTACTCTAAAAACATTGAAAGTCCTATTTTTGTATATGGAACATGTTTTATTTCTCCCATCTTTTATTCATAATTTCTTTTTGATGTCTTAGCATTTTACCAATCCTGCAGATCATCTTCACTAATGTTGGCAACCCCCATGCCCTTGGACAAAAGCCCCTCACTTTCCCTCGCCAGGTTTTTTTGAAATCTTGAATTGTAATTTAACCATTTTATCAATCAATTCAAATACTTCATAATTTGTATCCACATTTTCTCAAGGTAATCGCGCTCTGCCAAGCTCCCTTTTTACTAGATGATCCGAATGTGGAGCATATATTCCCCGCCGATGCAATTGCAAGAGCTAAACAATATCTTGCCATGACTTCTGGGGGTCTTGGTACTGTTATCTCCACATTTTTGGCCTCATAACTAATTCTTTTAGAAGAGGAAATCATTTGCTACTTATTTTTAACCATATAGGTGCTTACAGTGATTCTCGTGGAATTCCCGGAGTTAGGAAAGAAGTAGCGGAGTTCATCGAGAGACGAGATGGACACCCAAGGTGATAATGCTTAGTTCCTATGTTAGTTGAATCAAAACTCCAAAAGGGCATGTTTGGATCCTCAAAAGTGCTAGCAAAAGGGGAAAATGCAAAGGAGAATTGTATTCTTGTGGTTGATTTTACCGCGTCAAATACAATGGAACATAAAATATGATTAAGGCTTCAATATTTTTGTGCATATAGTTTGGATTCCTTAGGCTTTGTTCTTTTAGGTGGGAAAAACAAAGTTGGATGGTGGAAGAAACTGGAGGGAGTTGGAAGAAACTGGGAAGAGTTGGAAGAAACTAGAGAGTTGGAAAGTGTTGGAAATAAAGATTTACAACCCACGTGAACAGAGTTAGTCTTTATAGAATGTAGGTAGATTAGATCATAGATGCACAAAATGAATGTCAACAAATATCAAAACTAGATTCATTAAGTTTGAGCTAATGTTATATATTCCTTCATATTTCTTTTCGTTCAAATTATCTTTATATTTTTATCTCCATTTTCCTCACCTAGCATTTCCCGAGTTCCAAAAGACCCAAAATGTATGGTTAGATTATTGTTTCATTTTGTACAGTGATGCAGAGCTCATATTTCTCACAGATGGGGCCAGCAAAGGAGTAGCACAAATCTTGAATGCTATCATTCGCGGTCCAAATGATGGGGTAATTTCCCACATTAGAAAACTAGGGTATGTTTGGTAGTCCGGTTCAGTAATTGGATTTTGAATCAAACACATTTTCTTTCTGAAGACCAGTTGTTTCTGCCAAATAACCCTTACTAAATGGGAACTTAGGCCCCATTTGGTACATGGAATTCAACCCATGGAATTGGAATTGAAGACTTCAATTTCAATTCTGGTGTTTGATAGCACAAAAATTATGTAGATTTTGAATTGATAGTGCAAAAAATGAATTGGAATTGACAGAATTCAATTCTACGGAATTGAATCCCATGGAATTTCAATTCCAATTCAATTCCAATTCCATCAATTCTGTATACCAAACGGACCCTTAGAGTTTCTTCTTTTAATGAGATTTATACTCCGTAGGTGATCAATTTATTCAATTCCCCGCATTTCCCAAACTTGGGTTGAATGTTAAGTTTGTTCCATTTCTTTATGTACTGACTCCATATTAAATGTTAGATATTAGTCCCGGTCCCACAATATCCACTGTACTCGGCTACAATATCTTTACTTGGGGGTTCTCTTGTCCCTTATTATCTTGAAGAGACTTCAAATTGGGGTTTGGATATCAAGGACCTTCATCATTCAGTTGCAGAAGCTCGATCCAAAGGATTAACGGTAATGGTGATTAATAACACATATTGTGATTCTATAACTACTCTTTCATGTTTAATATTGCTTGCACTTAGATACGAGCAATGGTGATTATAAACCCCGGAAATCCTACTGGGCAATGTCTTAGTGAAACAAATTTGAAAGAGATAATGCGGTTCTGTTACCGAGAGAATCTGGTCTTGCTTGGGGATGAAGTTTATCAACAGAATATCTACCAAGACGTGCGCCCCTTTATCAGTGCAAGAAAGGTAATCACAGTGAGTTAAAGGGAGAAAGACCAAAGTAGGACTTAAACATTGAAAATATACCAAATTAGGACTTCCATGTTTTTATTCCCGAAATAAGACTTACATGACCATGCATGGTCATATACATTACCAAAAAAGTATAGTAATTTGCACATGTACACTGCCACATTACAACAGGGCAAAGTCACATTACCAAAGTGCAAAGTCCTATTTCGGGAAAAAAAACATGAAAGTCCTATTTTGGTACTTTTCTCTATGTTTTAGTCCTACTAAGGTGATTTCTATGAGTTATAAATGCATAAATTTTATGTAAATTTTGTTCTTGGAGCTTATAACTTGATGCCACATCACTCCAAAACTTAAGGTTCTATTGGATATGGGCCCACCCGTAAGCAGAGAAGTTCAGCTTGTTTCTTTCCACACTGTGTCAAAGGGATACTGGGGTGAGTGTGGACAGCGCGGTGGATATTTTGAGATGACCAATATCCCTCCCAAGGTCTATGTGGTCCTAATTTCATTTTTTTATTTACTGGAAACTGTTAATCTGCCCTACACTTGAATAAAAATGCTTCTTTTTGTTATCTACTTTATAGACCGTGGAGGAGATATACAAGATTTCATCAATATCCCTTAGTCCAAATGTGCCCGCGCAGATATTCGTAAGTTATTTATCGTTTTTTTGTTTGTTTCGTTTAACCCTTCGTTTCCATTTTAATAGCATGTCTTAGCTAAAGAAAGCATTAGAATTGTACATCTTCATTCTTGTACCAGTAGATTTTGGCACTGTTTGATCGGAGTAAATTTGGCCAAGTTCGTTGATGCTAAAATGGTTGAATGATGTAAAATGTTCGTACTTCGTAGTGTTTCAAATGCATTTTCAAAATAAATTAAAGGCAATGATATCATAAAAAGCATTCGAGAAGTACCGTAGCAAGTATAAGTTGTCAAAAAATGGTTTACCAAACAAGGGCTTTTTTTCGACATGAATATATAATGAGTTATCATCAGTCATGTCCCGGTTGAAAATGGTACCCCATCCTGTTTTTTCTTGCAGCTGGGGCTAATGGCGAACCCTCCTAAACCTGGAGATATCTCTTATGATCAATTCATAAGGGAAAGGTAATCAATTTTGGACTTGCTAATGATGAGGGCGAGAAGACGGGTTTAAATTAAATTTACTGTTAATTGCTGATTCTGATTGTAGCAAAGGGATTCTTGATTCGCTAAGGAGAAGGGCGCATATAATGACCAACGTATTCAACAGCTGCAGAAATGTTGTGTGCAATTTCACCGAAGGCAAGTAATCCCTCCGTCCCAAATTAAGTTGCCTATTTACTATTCACATGGTCAAACTTCATTCACTTTCTTTCCCTATTTTTATTACTCATTTGATAAAATAATATAGTCATGTTAACTCCTGTTTCGTAGAACTTTCGATATAGTTTTTAAATATGTAAGTTGTATCTCTTAATTCTACCCCAATTCTCAAATAAATTGAAAATAACTTCAGTTATACATCGTAAACCGAAACAGACGATATAAATCCTTGAGCATTTTTTGATCAGATCAATGCCTTTTATATCCACTCTCACAAGTGTTTTTCAGGTGCCATGTATTCCTTCCCACAAATACGCTTGCCCCCAAGAGCAATTGAGGCTGCTAAGAGTCTTGGAAAAGCTCCCGATGTTTTCTACTGTCTCAAGCTCTTGGAAGCCACTGGAATCTCCACCGTTCCTGGCTCAGGGTTCGGTCAAAAGGAAGGGTACGGATTTCGCGCTCCAATCCAAATTCAACCCTCCTCTCCTGTTTTCTTTGCTGCAACAAGTCCTTTGTTTTTCTGTGTTTAGGGTTTTCCACCTTAGGACGACTATCCTCCCGGCTGAGGATGAGATGCCAGCCATAATGGCTAGTTTCAAAGAGTTCAACGATGGGTTCATGGACGAATGTGAAGATCACGGGCGCTATTCCAGGATGTAACTGGTAGTTATATGCCCAAAATATATAATCGACTTTTACGATCATCGCGCTATGCATAAATAATCCGATGAACTCTTGAGGTAAATCATTCTACAGGTCGTGCCACTTTCGGTTCCCTCGTGGTTTCAGGTTATGTTTCAGATCCATGTGGTTGTTTTCCAAGACAGGCTTTGTAGTTTCCAAGGAATGAACTTCAGGTATCAAAAAGAATGTTAGTGCCACAACGGATCATGCCCCTCCTACCCCCACCCCCACCCCCCAATTATCTTTGGATGGCAAAACTGGCCAAGATAAATAGATGCCTCGTGTGTCCCACTTTATTTGTCAAGTTTGACTTTTTTGAGTCAAACTGGACAAACTTTAAACTTCAGTTACTCTTAATTTGTATTGCGTATTAATGTAATAAACTAAAGTTTTTAAAATTCCCAACTGTGGGACGGAGGAAGTATATTACTAGTTTTGTTTAATTGAAGCTTAAAGTTCATCCTATTTAACTCGAAAAAGTCAAACTAGACAAATTTACTCTCCTTCTGTCCCAAAAAATATTATAGTTTGAGTTTTATAGTCAAAGTATGCAACACTTTGACCATAAATTGTGATAATGATAATGATGATGATGATAGTAATAGTAATAATAATAATAGGAATAATAATACGGTGGGGTTCTAGTGACACTCAACTTTGGTGACACTAGCGCTGCCACTGTCATTTTGGGGCACTTCCGGTGCTCCATTCGTAAAATTATTCATAAAATTGACGGTTCCTATCCCCTCCTAACCCACACACTAAACCCCCATCCTACCCCTGCACCCCCACCCCAACCCCGCCGTAAGCCCCCCACAAAATGTGTGGCTATTATGCATTGCATAATAGCCACACATTTTGTGGGGGGCTTACGGTGGGGTTGGGGTCCACCCTACCCCTGCCCTGCACCCCCACCCCAACCCCGCCGTAAGCCCCCCTTAAAATGTGTGGCTATTATGCAATGCATAATAGCCAAACATTTTGTGGGAGGTTTACGGCGGGGTTGGGGTGGGGTGCAGGGGCGGTGGTAGGGTGGGGGTTTATGGGGGGTAGGAACCGTCAATTTTACGAACGGAGCACCCAAAGTGCTCCAAAATGACAGTGGCACCAGAGTGTCACCGTACTCCGGTGTCACTAGAACCCCACCGATAATAGTAATAATAATAATGGCTAGGATCTTTTGACCTTGAAACTCCAGGTCGTTTTTTATGACCCGAGATTTCAGGGTAAAAAAATTGTTTGTAATAGTAATAATAGTACTAGTAATAATAATAATAATATCTGAATGCATCTGTTTTTATTTAATTAAAATAAATAATATGCAGTAGTTAATAAGTAAAAAAATATGACAATGCAACTTCAGTCTTGGGTTGTAGAAGGTGAAACTATGGGTTAAATGGTCATTTCTCAATTTAAAAAAAGTGTAAAAATAAGTTTTATACGCATTTTGGTCGCGTGACACTCAACATCGGTTAAATTTGACAAAAACTATAATGGAGGGCATGTTTTTACAAGAATGTTTTCATTGGGGGGAGGAGGGGGGAGTCTTGTGGACTTTTTAGACTACGAGGGGATACTATGCACTTTTGAGGTATCACATGTAAGTTTGTGGGGGCGCAGCGGAAATCGCCAATTAAGAACTATGCAAACAAATCAACGAACTGTGCTGCAGAGAAGATACTGCAGCACTGTCACAGTAACAGGTGAACAGATAGTGTGCTATAACACTTCTCTGTCACAAGCACACACAGAAGCAGATGATGCAGAGGGCGTTACAGCGTCTACTGGGCAGAATGCTGTAAATATAAAATGCGTAAAAAATAACACCAGATATGTTTACGCAGTTCGGAGCAAATTCTCCTAGTCCGCGGGGCCCAGGTCCGTGTAATAGCCCTCCACTAAATCACTAGATGCAAGTTACACCGGTACATAACAATATGATGAGACACACTTCTCCGAATTGTTATGACAAAACTTCTAATCTAGGATTTCTAACCCGAACTCTGTTCAGATCCGCTTTGGCTATCACATCTCCAGCGAGATCACGAGGACAAACGTGTTGGCAGCCCTCTCCTTAAGCTCTTGTCCACCTCCTGGTTGTCACGATCTATTTTTCATTGTAGGACTCCTTTATTTAGATCGTATCTTTCTTCACGCATGGGAAGCTCTGAGATGCGACGGGAATGCTCTACATCAGCGTATATTCTTTATTTTCCCTCTCAATCGCTCCAAGTAATTCCCAGGGACCTGTTGCATTTTTATAGGCTTCTCTTAACACAATCCTAGTAGGAATAGGATAGTAGAAGTTGGCTTGAACTCTACTTCCTTAATCTTGATCTACAAGTAGCCTTAAGAGTTGGGATTCCTTAGCATGTACAGCTGGAGTTATTATCATGTAATCACAATCCCAATAGGTCTCTAATTCAGATTGCAGCTTAAAATCCCGTGCTCTGACCTCTGATCCCGAACAGTGTGTTGCAGCATCGTGTTGTAGCATCTTCTGTGTCACCCTCGAAAACTGCAGCAACTCTAGAAGTCTAAATAACATAAACTTCTCCTAACAAATAGAGGTTTCTACCTAGTAAAACACCTAACAAATATGGAATTCTATTTTGCCAAAAGATTAGCCAACACCATGGAACTTACAATCTCCCCCCTTTGGCAATTTTTTGGCAAAATACTTCGTGCACCATGCCATAAAAGATTAAAGCATCTTTTAAGAACTTAGCCTTTTCTCCCCCTTTTTGACACAAAATATGCCAATCTCATTTAGGGTAAAAAAAAAGAAAAGTAATACAAAATTCTTTTAAGAGCATACAACAATAAAAAGCACAAAACAAATAAAATCTACCATTAAGATCTATGCACGTGCTTCCTATTTGAATCTGCTGGAGCTTCATCCTTTATTGTAATTTACTCCCCCTCAAAATTTGCATCAATACCACATCTTGCTTCAAAAAGTGTGCTAACTCTTTAAGAGATCACCATGATTGTTTGCAACGAACCACCCAAAGATCAAGCTCATAACTTAAGCTCAACCGCTCTGATACCAATTGTAAGTTCGTGGGGGCGCAGCGGAAATCACCAATTAAGAACTATGCAAACAAATCAACCAACTGTGCTGCAGAGAAGATACTGCAGCACTGTCACAGTAACAGGTGAACAGATAGTGTGCTATAACACTTTTCTGTCACAAGCACACACAGAAGCAGATGATGCAGAGGGCGTTACAGTGTCTACTGGGCAGAATGCTGTAAATATAAAATGCGTAAAAAATAACACCAGATATGTTTACGCAGTTCGGAGCAAATTCTCCTAGTCTGCGGGGCCCACGTCCGTGTAATAGCCCTCCACTAAATCACTAGATGCAAGTTACACTGGTACATAACAACATGATGAGACACACTTCTCCGAATTGTTATGACAAAACCTCTAATCTAGGATTTCTAACCCAAACTCTGTTCAGATCCGCTTTGGCTATCACATCTCCAGCGAGATCACGAGGACAAACGTGTTGGCAGCCCTCTCCTTAAGCTCTTGTCCACCTCCTGATTGTCACGATCTATTTTTCATTGTAGGACTCCTTCTTCATGTTGATCGTATCTTTCTTCACGCATGGGAAGCTCCGGGACGCGACGGGAATGCTCTACATCAGCGTATATTCTTTGTTTTCCCTCTCAATCGCTCCAAGTAATTCCCAGGGATCTGCTTCGTTTTTTATAGGCTTCTCTTAACACAATCCTAGTAGGAATAGGATAGTAGAAGTTGGCTTGAACTCTACTTCCTTAATCTTGATCCACAAGTAGCCTAAAGAGTTGGGATTCCTTAGCATGTACAGCTGGAGTTATTATCATGTAATCACAATCCCAATAGGTCTCTAATTCAGATTGCAGCTTAAAATCCATGCTCAGACCTCTGATCCCGAACAGTGTGTTGCAGCATTGTGTTGTAGCATCTTCTGTGTCACCCCTCGAAAACTGCAGCAACTCTAGAAGTCTAAATAACATAATCCTCTCCTAACAAATAGAGGTTTCTACCTAATAAAACACCTAATAAATATGGAATTCTATTTTACCAAAAGATTAGCCAACACCATGGAACTAACATCACAGAGAATCCTGTGCAGCTATCTCTTATTCTATGAAATAAGTAAAGAAAATAAAAAAACACTACAAGAAAACTGCCGATCTGCAACGGACAAATTTCGTGGCAGATTTTGAAATTCTGTGGCAGATTTCCATTCTGCAATGGATCTGCTATGAAATCTTTCCGTCGCAGAAAAGTTGTGGCAGATTTAAAATCTGCGACGGAATTTAAATTCCGTGGCAGATCTGCGACGGACCTGCAACGGAATTTCCCTTTTTTCATCGGATGTAATCTGCGACGGAAATTAGGAACCGTTGCAGATATGCGACGGAATTAGCAACGAACACCTCCGTCGCAGATTTGTGACAAAAACAGCAACAGATGGTTCCGTCGAAAATATTTGGATGATCAACCTAAATTTTTCTGGTTTTAGGCATTAGATACTAAAATTGGAGGCAAAACACATTCAATTTTCACACACATTGATAATTCAAAGCTAGATTAATGAAAACTTCATGTGCAAATGTAACATAATTCATTATATTCTAATAATGAATATTAAAGTGTTAGTGTCAAGCGCTTAAAATGGAGGAAGCTAAGGTCGTAAAGGTCTCAACAAATCTCGAGCTGTCCTGCACCTCCTGTTCCATCATCATTGCCTCATCGAGGAAGGATACCACCATATAGCTTCTTTATCTCCTCTTGAATCGTCAGTGACAAGCTCGAGGTTAGATTATCACGGCCCACGACTAGCGAATAACGTATTTCTTGGTCGGTGACTTGCAGCCCTTTCTATTTAGCCTCCTCGCACAGTTCGAAGAATTGAGTCTGAACACAAGTTTTTTGCTTCCACCTATCAACAAGTACAAGAGAAAAAATACAAAATTAGAAGGACACAAAATCAGCATTAAAACAAACCTAAATTTTGGACTTGAAGGCAGTTCCCTTGAAAGCTTGATCTTGGTTTTCCTCTTCATTAAAAATGATGGTTTTCTGGTGGATCTTGCAACTTGCACTATGATCTACTCACACAAACATCAAAAGACATACATAGTATTCAATTTCACACTTTACTAGCCAACAAAGAGAAGGGGAACCGTGGGCGATGGACGCAAAAGAGTTACATGTTCTCCGGGAAGATTAAAACATTAGCATAGATTATATTATTAAAGAATAAGATCATGAATCACATACTCTAAATTGTAGCTGAATCTCCTAATCAAATGATTTCCCCAATGAGGATGTCATGCCCGACACGAACCAGCTTATACATGGAAGCACCCGTCATTCCATCAGCAACAACTGGGCCTAACACTTGCACAGAGAGGTTATTATTAATAGGGAAACTAGAAAAAACATGTAGAGTTGTTACATGCTAATTAGAACATAGTGCAGTTACATTACAAGAAGACAAGGCTAAAATACATCAAATGAAACATCTAAGTATGATTAAAAGGTCCTCGGAGTCGTGGTCATCGCCACCTATGTCCTCGTGATCTTCAGTACTCTTCCTGCCACCTCATTAAACTAAGAATATCAACCACATTCATTACCAACCAACAATAGCAACAATAAAGGCTAAGAAACGAAAATCGTATTCAACCAAAAACAACAATCATTTAACTACAGATATCAACCTATAATGCACTCAATTTCACAAAATTGAAGTAAATTTTACCTAAATTCTCATTAAATGTTAAATTAACAAACACAATTCAACTAAAATTACAACTTAAATGCTATCAATTTCACGAAAAACTAGTACAACTTTTACCCAATTTCATGTCAATTTCAACTCATATTCACACAATCTCAACTAAATTTCACCAAAAATGCACTCAATTTCAGACAAACAAATTCAATTTCACCAAAAATTACAGTAATAATAAATTATACTCCGTATAATAGTAAACAAAAATACCTTATCTTGAAATTCACGGTAAAGAGGACCAGCGGGGAAGACTGGCGGTTGAGTGGCAGCGGCGGCGAGTGGTGGCGAGGGGAACTCGGTCGAGGGCGGCGGCGGCTGACGATCGGGGGATCTGGCGTGGCGTGGACGGCTGACGGTCAGGGGCGTCGAGGGCTGGCGCGGCTGGACGGCTGACGGTTGGGGGATTTGGCGTGGCGTGGGCTAACACTGGCAGCGGCGGCGGCGAGCGCTGGCGCAGCGCGACGAGGAGGACAGCGAGGGAAGGCGCTGCTGGATGGCTGACGGGGGTTAAGGGATGGCGAGTGAACGGATTTCGATTTTGAGTTGTGAGACTGAGATCCCTATTTTTATTAAAAATCCGCGACGGAACATTGCCCGTAGCAGATTCCATTGCAGATCTGTGACGGAATAATTAAACTGTCGCAGATATTTTGTGAAAAAATTGACCAACTTGGTCGTCTCCAGATTTGCGACAGTACTCTATTTTCCGTTGCAGATCTGCGACGGAATATGAAATTCCGTCGCAGATTACTTTCATTTTTCATAAATAATTCGTCCGTCGCAGATTCGTTGCAGATCCGCTACTGAAATAGGTCCGTAGCAGATTTCCGTTGCAGACCAGACAAATTCTTGTAGTGAAAGAAAATATATAAAATTTGAAAAAGAATTTAATTAATTTAGACGGAGGGAGACCAAAACATTTTTTTTCAACCATGCTAGGTATACCTTTAAATATTGTACTCTAAAATACTCATTAAAGATTTACACCTACACGTTCAAAAAAAAAAGGATTTACACTTAAGTTTTCATGGTTTATATTGATACAAAATGTTAGTGCGATCGTCAAATTTTACATTAACATTTTGTGTTAATGTAAGCCATCAATCCCACATTTACATGGACATAAAATATAAATATAAATTTTTAGATACACTCTACGTCCTTAAAAAGATTGCTAGAATTTGACTTTTCTGGTCAAACTGTGGCATCTTTTGGCCACGAATTAAATATAGTTCAAAATAATTAAATATTACTGTATAAAAATTTGATTGATATTTCAAAAGTATATTATAAAATAAATTCAATTTTACTAAATTAAATTATAACCTAATATGGAGCATGTTTTTTCATAATTTGCGGTTAACAGGTCCCACAATTTGACCAAAAAAAATGAAACTTGAAAGAGTCTTTTAGAGTTGAAAGGAGTATAATTTAGAGTAGAAGGTATACAAATAGGGATTAGGGAGTAGATTTATTCCATTTTTTTGTTGGGTAGTAGCGTAGCGACGTTCACCTACCGACGTAGCTGGAGTACGGGGCATCATTATGGTCTTCAAAGAAAGTTGGACTTTTGTCCGTTTCAAAATGATTTTCAACTCGGAGGGAGTATATGGATTTTGGATACGGAGTAATTTTTTTTTTTGGAGAAAAAAAAAAGAATGTTTGGAACAAAAAACAAAAGTATTTTCTCTCTGCATTTTAAATATTTTAAGATGGAATAAAAATAATTTTTTTTACATCTTAATTAATAGGATGAATGTAGATTTTTTTACCATTTCAACCACTACCCTTGTATTTTAAAAGGAAAAGTAATTAAAGAAAAACAACATCCCTTCGTCCCAGAATTATCGTCACAGTTATTATTTTTATATTTTGCTACTTTTTGTTTGTTTGTATGTTTTCGTTGATTATTTAATAAAATAAAATATTTTTATCACCTCTTGTTTAGTAAAAGTTTTCATATTGTTTATAAATATGTAATTTATGTTTTTTTATTTATATTTAATTTGTAAACAAAATATTTTTAAAAGAGAAAGTAATTTGCATATTTTTGAAGCAAAACGATAACTTTGGGACATAGTGAGTAACATACTACTTCCATCTTCGTGTATTAATCTAGTTTGTCTTTTTGAGTTAAATTAGATGAATTTTGGACTTCAACGTATGTCACTGACTTGAATTGAAACATTTATGATACATATATATATTTATGAAACATTTTCCACATGGGATATATATATATATATATATATATATATATATATATATATATATATATATATATATATATATATATATATAG